GGGTCCCATTCTAATGATCAGGACCTGGAACGCCTGATTACGGGTCACGTACCTGATTGCTGTGATAGTCTCCGATTGGCCCACCCCGCCCCTGTGTTTTCGTTCTCTGAATTGAGGAGAGAGATACATTGTCCTTTCAGAGAGAGAGAAAAAAAAGTGTATGTAAAAAAAAAAAAAAAAAATAAACCCTATTCTAGGTAAGTTTTTTTTTTTTTTTTTTTAATTATCTGTGTCCATTAGTGGCAGTATAAAAAACAAAATGCACACTATATGGTTTCTGGGCTGTTCTACAGGTACAAACAACAACATCCACCCACATCGCTGTCATCAGCAGGAGCAAGAGAGATTTGGGTTTTTCTTTGGTGCTAGGTGATGGCAGTTGCAAGAAATATTCAGATACTTTTTTTTTTTTTTTACTATTTTGGGCCAGTTTTCCTTTGGTAATGGATTTTTCCTGATTATTTTCTTTTTATCATTTACCACCAAATAAAAGACTAATTTTCCTGAACAAAGAATGCAGTATAGTCCACCTTGATGCACAGTTTTGCTATCACAGGTGCAAGTTGCAAAATTGTGCTTAGGCATGAACAGTCGTTTTACCCTTAGGTGCAAAGGGGTTAAAAAGTTATGCCAGTTTTTAGCTTACTTTTGGGAGCCATCGGCTGCATCCATACAGCACGGTATTGTGGCAGCTGAACAGGGAATTTGTCCTTTTTCTGGAACAAGGTCAAGTCAAGCTCAGTATATAGACATAAAACTATGCAGCGCTAAGAGCAACAATAAAATGAAATTAAAATATAAATAGTAGCCATATATGGTGAACAGTATTGAATGAGCTAAATGTGAAAAGAGCACTCAATGGCGCTAAGATCATAGGTGCCAACTATCTCATAGATACATCCAAGGTGCATGTGATGATAACGGTGACAAAGTCAATCTATCCAATATCAATACAGCATGGTGAAGAAATCGGTGACTCCTGTGGTTGTGGGAAATAGGTGTTGATTGCATTAACCAGATATCGCAATTTCTTGCGCATTGGAGTATATATGGGACCTAATCCCGGTGATCTGGATCTGGAACACTAGAACATCAGGTCAGCAGCATCCAGGTAAGCCACATCAGAGGGGATAGCTCATCTCTGGGTATTCAGTCATCAGCCACCAGGGGGATCACACGTTCACATATGCCCGTTAGCAGAAATACCTGTCTGCCTTGTTGTATCCTCCGTCTGCAGGGTAATCATCCGGGTGTCCAGCAGAGGAGAAGAGACTGACTCCCTCACACTAATAACAGGTAGTCCTAGTAGGAGGTATTTCTGCTGATTGGGCATATGTGAACGTGTGTGATCCCCCTGGTGGCTGATGACCTGATGTTCTAGTGTTCCAGATCCAGATGACCAGGAGTAGGTCCCATATATACTACAATGCACAAGAAGTTGTGCTATCTGGTTAGTACAATCAACACCTATTTCCCACAAGCACAGGAGTCACTGATTTATTCACCATGCTGTATTGATATCGGATAGATTGACTTTGTCACCATTATCATCACATGCACCTTGGACGTATCTATGAGATAGTTGGCACCTATGATCTTTGCGTCATTGAGTGCTTTTTGCGCATTCAATACTGTTCACCATCTATGGCTACTATTTATATTTTCATTTCATTTTATTGTTGCTCTTAGCGCTGCATCGTTTTATGTTTATATATTTTATAAGAGGTTCCAAAGGTTTACCTTTTTATGTTTATCCATTTACCCAGCGCTCGTTTGTTTCATTTTATAAAGTCAAGCGCAGTGCTGCTCAGACATTCTCAGGAAACCTTGTATAGTATGAATGAATACAAGGCTTCCTCTGGTGAGGTGGAGAAAGTAAGGGTCATCCACCGCCAATCAGAGGCAACCATGTATCCATTCAAAAAATATTTCTGTGAATGGCTGAGCAGCATTCAGCCCCACTTGTTTCAGGAAGAGGATGGAAACTCCCCATTCCCCCTGCCAGAAGCACAGCGCTGTATAGTGGATGTAGCTGATACTACACTCCTAAGCAAGTGAGGGATACAGTCCATTTGGAGCAGCTTCGTTAAGGCTACGTTCACACTAGCCTTGTGTGCAGGCGGCAGAGAGGCGTTTGGGAAGCGTTTTTACCGCTTCCCAAACGCCTCTGCCAATTCTGCACATTACAGCACATGGTGCTGTTCTAACGGGAGCGTTTGCGTCGCGGCAAAACGGACGCCTCTGGACGAGTCAGGAGGCTTTGAAGCCTCCTATTCTCGTCTATGGTGCCGCTCCGCAAACGCCCGGCCGGCGTTTGCGGTGCGGTTGCGGAGCGGTAACACCACTCAAACTGCATTATAGGCGTTTGTGGGGCGTTTTTAACGCTCGGCAAACGCCTAGCAACCGCCGCTAACCGCGCATGTGGCGTTTGCGGAGCGTTAAAAACGCTCAGCAAATGCCGGACCAACGCTTGCCAAACGCTATAGGGGCGTTTGGCAAGCGTTGGCAAAACAGCCAAGTGTGAACGAGCCCTAACAGGTAAGTTCACCTTTGGGAACATGTTACATGTTTTGGCACCTGGAGTTGCTCTGCAATCCACTGCCTCTGTGTGACAGTAGTACTGGGAGAAGTTCCCCATATCAGCTGTCACTTTTTGAAAAGATTGCGGCTATGTGGCTGCGTCGCTCACGGGATTCTGTGAATGAATCAACTACAAGTACCGACGACCTTTGCTGATGTCGCCTTTTAGTTCCCAATGAACTGCTTCAGCACTGTTGGGTGCTCTGGTAGTTCGATACTCCCTTGCCCATACATCGTCAACATCAACAGTTTACAGGAGTCCTGCATAGCACCAGCGATCTGCTGATTGCTGGTGCAATGCTTTCCAGGCTCCTAAAAGAAAAGAAAATGCATTTTTTTTAATGTGCATTTGTTTATTTTTTTAAAAGGTGAACCTATTCTTTAAATCAAATGTGGCATTCAGCTTTAAAGATGACCACCAGGATTTGTTCTGCACAGTTACATGGGCCCAGGTAGGTACAAAGTATGCAAAACTCATACCTGAGGGGCCACTAGCAAGGCTGGACATAACTGTAGTAGTTGGCTACAAGTCATAATTACCGTCTTCCAGATCTTGTACATGTTCCACCCAAGCAGATGCTTCTCTACACACCACAAACGGGACCTAGCTTGGTACCACTACCATTTATAGAATACTTTGTATTTTTTTCAATACAAGGCTTTCTCTGATTGGACAAGGTACAGAGAAGAGGCAATGACATCACAACCTTAAAGATGGCAGCTATCACTGTAACTACTGTAATTACCACCCATTTCCATCTTCCCTAGCAACCCCTCCATTATATGTGGTCCAGCTTGGCACAACAGAAGTACAATTTACAAATATTTCCTACAATTGATCTTTTAGAAAGGTAGACATGAACTCTACAAGAATGACATGGAGTTTGCCTCAACGCTACAGATCAGACAATTGCTATGGTTTGTTTGGTTGGTTCTCCCCCCCCCTCTTTCTAGGTGCACACCAACGATGGCTGCATGGCGGGTTTCTCGATGATGACAACAGTGGACCTTATCTGTGCAATGAGTGTTAAATAGCCACTTGTAGTCTCCATTCGAACATTGGGACAGATCATTGTCCTCCCCTTTAACAGGGACCACCATGACAAGGTTACCAGGAGTTATTTAGACCAACTCCATGTCCTCTTAACAAGCTGCCCGAAACAAACTATTTACTGCATGAAGAGGTGAGCTATTTTACTGGTATGTAGCCTCAGCTCCATCCATCATTGTGTCCTGGTAGTGGGGTGGGAACTTTCTATTCCACCTCCAGAACATAGCAGGGGCGGTCTGACAGTCTCACGATGCTTTGGACTCTATGAATAACACATAGCTTCCTTTGATTGGCTGGGGTCAACTGATGACATCACGAACTCTGCCTCAACCAATCAAAGAAGTTTAGTATTCATATAATACAAAGCTTCTTCTGAATGACTATGGTCTGGGTGTGAGACCAAAAAAAAAAAAAAAAATCTGTCCCACTGCCACAACATGGAGCTGTATACTGTCTGTAGCTACTGCACGCCCAGCAAGTGCATGTGTTCATCTAAAACAAACTATTTAAAGGGACATTAAACTCAGAGATAAGACTATTGATTGAGTTTCCATTTACTCTAAAGGAGGGGCAAACACAAACAGCACCTAAAGAATCCCAGATATCAGCAGTGAGAGGGCCAGTAACACACAGAGGACATGGGGGCCACGGTACCCCCTGGCTGAGGACGGCAAAGAATTCTTAACGGATTTAAGTCTTTACAGCAAACCTCCAATTACAGCAGCTATCAGTCAGCAGAATTGTGGAGAATTTGGACATGTTTCGGTCCCTCAGCGGGGGCAGGACATTGTTGAGACAATAAGAAGCTGCAGGATCACCCGATAAAAGTCAATCAGTTATGAAATTTTATTATGTAACAAGAAATATCCATCAATAATCAGCGGTGCCTTATGTTGATTGTAATCCCACGATCTCCATCTCACGGCCAAGTGCTGGAGGGATGTCAGCATCTGTTTCAGTGGTATTTGTAATACACTCGTCCAGCAGCAACCTCTGTTTTTCATCCCTATGGCTTCCAGAGTCCTTGTGGGTGAAGAAAGTGTTTCCCGAGGTCCGCTCCCTCCAAGTAAGTGGTGCTGTAAAACGTACCCCCCTCCCTCCCCTCCAGCATCAGGAATGTATGAGGCAAAAAAAACAAACAAAAATAAAGTTACAGGTGCAAAAAGAAGTGGAGTTTTTAGAGAGGATTGGTGCACCTCTGGTCATTAGTCACAAGTAGCTTTATCTGTCTCTAAAGTCTTCCCACAGCGCAGACTATCTACCCACAATCCATCATTCTGAAGAATCGTTTACCAGCTTCCCTTGAAGGTTGTCTTCAAATGTGAACAATGGTTCAAGTTGTTTAGAGGCGTCTTCCTGTGCAAAGCCTTTATCCTTCCCAACCTTCCCATAACTGGTCTCTGTGGAGACAAAAAACACACGACGTTGGTATAGAAGGAGTCATCTAGACTAAATGAGACACAAGACAAAAGAGAGGACAACTCACAAGGACTTAGAGGAGGGTCTCTTCGTTTTTGGCCACTTCCGCCGCTGAAGTTGTCTAAAGGTCCAAGTAAGAGAAAAGAGGAGCCCATCACCAACATTGAAAGCCCATCACCTCTATATACAATAGAAGCTACTAACCACTACATTCATATATAAAGTATATGACACACACGGGAAGACACAACTACAACAATGAAAATGGAGAATAACGGAACCTACATGAGCAATGCCTGAAGTCTTGGAATCAAAGTAGCAAATTGAACTCATCAGACTATATGACCACAGCTATGTGGATCTGCCTCTAATGATGGAGTTGAGGTGCCTCCAGGGAAGGATCCTGCTAATCCTCCATCATACGAAGACATTGTAGACAATTGCTCCCTTCCAACCTTGTAACAGTTTAGTGAAGACCCTTTTCTGTTTCCCCATGACTGTGCCCGTGTACAGAAGCAAGCTAAAAAAAGAAATGGTTGGACTGGTTTGGTGTGGAGGAACTTGAGTGTCCTGCACAGAGCCCTGACAACCCTAATGAACATCTTTGGGATAAATTGGAAATCCAATTGTGAGCCAGGTCTTCTCCAATATCTGACCTCACAAATTCCCATAAATATTCCAAAATCTTGTGAAGAACCTTCCTGAAGACTTGAAAGAGACAGCTACATCATGATGGCTAATTGGGAAGGGGAACAAGTCTACACTGATGGGCCACTGGGAAGTGATGGCCAATGGGAAGGGAGGCGACTTCATACTGGTGGCCAATTGGGAAGGAAGAACAACTCCACAGTAATGGCCAATTGGGAAGGGAGACAACGCCACAATGGAGGCCAATGGGAAGGGGCAATAGGAAGAAGGGTCAGCCGCACACCGGAGGATAGGTGAATATAGTGTTTATTGATCCGTAGGACACACAAAACCACCAGCACATGATTGCAGGACCTGTTAATGCGTTTCACACAACCTCGTGCTTTATCATAACCCAAGGGAAGGGGGACAACTCCACAATGATGGTCAATGGGAAGGGGGGGTAACTCCACAGTGATGGCCAATTGGGAAGGGGGGATAACTCCATAATGATGGCCAATTGGGAAGGGGGGGGGGGGTAACTCCACAATGATGGCCAGTTGGGAAGGGGTACAACTTATATTATCAGCCATGGGTTTGGAATGGGATGTCCAACAAACTCATAGGTGTGGCCAGGGCTGCACTGGCTGTAGGCTATGGAGAGTACAGACAGCCGCCAGAAGCAAAGGGCTGCTTATTAAAGCAGAAACTTTGAAAATAATTTTGAATCTGGTAAAAGTAAAAGCAACTCAAAATGTTTCCTTCTGAGATTCCCTTTATTAGGAATCTGCAGTAATCCACAACCAGCCAGCATCAACATCCTTTGGTGCTTTTCGTGTCGGGAGGTCAGAGCCACGCTGAGGTGCAACACATAAATGACACTTTGTGGGGAACACTTACCTGTACTGTTCAAAACTTTCATCCTTCAGCCCTGTAATTACAATGTACAGCGTGTCAGTAGAATACAGAGGTGGACACACACAGAGATCAGAAGGTGGCTCATTCGGGCTGCAATATCACTTATTGTTAAATCTAAATTATGATTCGGCATTTATATTGATGGCAAGCTTGCAAAATATTTGGTTTTTATGATTAGTCATAATTAATATTAATATATGTAAGTGGTCTGTGACAAATGGTAGTATTTACTATTCTTCAATTATAGCTGAGACCAAAAGATATACAAGTTAAGCTGAAATAGTATATACCAGTTGAAAGTTGAGTAGACTATATTTAGAGATAGTTGGTTAAAAGTATTTGGTAGTTATGTCAAGGTTATTAGAAGTGATTTACTATTACAGTACGTATTTTAATAATAATCTGTGTGTATTTAGTATACGTTTCTAACATTGATACATATATAGTTTAGTGATTATACATTGATATGTTCTTAAGCTATAATTATTCTTTATATATAGCTGAGGGTTACATCATTGGTACATCAGCATACATATGTTCCTGTCCATCAAACATCATATGTATAGCATCTTTCCCTTTTATGAATTGGCTTTGCTAAGCAGTAATACTTTCCATAGAAGGTATTAAGATCACGAAGTATGACGTACATTTGCCTCTTAAAAGTGCATGAGACACAGAGACAGGGGAACACACACTCACTCACACACTAACATGACACTCTAGCATACACACGTCTGAGATGCTGGAACAGGTGCTGCAAGACCAGATCATCATCTCCATCTACTTCCGGCTTCTTTACAAAGTCTAGAAGGACAGCATTAAGGACAAGGACATGGAGCATCGCACATGGCCAGGACAGCCATGACAGATAATGGTGACTTTGTTTTAAACCTAGTAGTTGTCATTTTTACAATAGTTTTATCTACATGGAACTGTTCATAATACGCTTTACATTGTTATTTGACACCATTGTGTGATAGAATAAAATCACACTTCATTTTTTATTTCAATGGCTCTTTCATTCATAATCGCCTCAAGACACTAGAAGAAGTATTATATGTGTCTAAAAATCCAACACTTATGTTTTTGCTAGCAATGATGTACAATGGTAAGATTATCCAACGTGAGAAATTCTGTATTTGCTTAAAATATTATTTCCAGGGAGTTACAACAGCAAAGCTTGGACCAATGTAACTGTGAAATCACAGAATGGACCCGGCTCCTCTGCTGATCTCCACTAGCTTCTGGGGCCTGCGCTGCAATGTGAACACAGGAGGTCAGCCTCTGGGCACAGGTGCCATTCACAATCAAAGCCTGCAATTTCTCAATGAATGCAAAGTGTTCTCTGATTGGACGAGGTGGAGAGCGTGACATCAGTGCCCCACCTGTTCACAATGCAGCAGAGCAGGCGCTCAGTCCAGGACATGGAAGCTAGTGGAGATCAGTGGAGTAGCTTTGTTTATGGTGGTTAGTTCCAGCTTCTAGAGCAGGGGTGTCAAACTGGTGGCCCTCCAGCTGTTGCGAAACTACAAGTCCCATCATGCCTCTACCTTTGGAGATCATGCTTGTAACTTTCAAAATTGCAATGCCTCATGGGACTTGTAGTTTGGCAACAGATGGAGGGCCGCCAGTTTGACACCCGTGTTCTAGAGGGATCCCCCCAGGTATGGTATGATGGGATTCACCTGTGATAACCAGTACAAGGGACAGCTGGGATCTGTTCCTGGAGCGGACTACAACAACACGGGACCCGATCATATAAGCAGCAGCAAGGCAATACACATTTATAGAGCAAACACGTGCACTGCACGCCACAGGAAAAGGTCCACAAAGTACATATCATACCAAGGTCCAGACTGCGCGTCCGTGGGTTACACAGCCGGGAACCCTTACAGCTTCGCAGCTCCATTAGCTGGACATGTAACTGATTGAGGACGTCTCTTCCCAGAGTGTTCACCGCGTTTATCAACTGGGGAGAGAAGAGAACACCAAATCCAGATCAGTACAAACATTGGCTGCAGAAATCCCTTCACCCCTCCCACCGCAGGAAAGAGCAACACAAGTTCCTTCCTAACTGACCCACATGGACTGAATGAAAGAGCATCTGTGTCGGCCTCAGCCCCGCGCCTCTTACATGTTTCGCCCCACCCATTGGGCGTTTTGTTACAGAGGTGAAAGGGCGTGGCCAAAGAAAAGGTTGAGGCCTACACGGACACTCTTCATTCAATCCATGTTGGCCAATTTGAGCAGCATTCACATCTCACAATCCTACACCCCATGATAGTGTTAGGACGCCTGCTCCCACTTTCAGTGCATCGGCGGGGATACTTCTGCAGGGAACTGGGCGTGTGGTCATAAATTAAACCTAGACCTATGTTGCTATGGGTCATGCAGAGCGCAGCGTCCGGGGGTCAGGACTGTGCCAACGCGCAGCGTCCGGGGGGGGTCAGGACTGTGCCAACGCGCAGCATCCGGCAGGTCCGGGGGGGCAGGACTGTGCCAACGTGCAGGTCCGGGGGGGCAGGACTGTGCCAACGCGCAGCGTTCGGGGGGGCAGGACTGTGCCAACGCGCAGCATTCGGGGGGGGGGCAGGACTGTGCCAACGCGCGCAGCGTCCGGGGGGAGGGGGGTTCAGGACTGTGCCAACGCGCAGCGTCCGGGGGGGGAGGGGGGTTCAGGACTGTGCCAACGCGCAGCGTCGGGGGGGGGGGGAGGGGGGTTCAGGACTGTGCCAACACGCAGCATCCAGGGGTCAGGACTCTTGGCTGAAAAACACACAGATCTGAAGGAACAGCACGAGCATGCCTTTTCTTCAGAACGCATGAACCGGCGATGTCTCCAGCGTCTGCTCTCTGGAATATAGTTGTACATTTAGGAGATATTCATTTTACCTACAGGCAAGCGTTATTATAGGCTGACCTGTAGGTGAAAGTTGAGAATAATTCAAGGTATCCTAGAAGCCTGGGTTTATACAGCGGGTTACTTCAAGGCTGGAGGGCTCTGCAGGTCAGTTCTCTGGTACCTTTCCCTGCTCTAGAAGCTTGGGGAATCTTGTAGAAGTCAGTAGGCAGAGGTGAGGAGGAGCTGATCTGCATATTTATGAGAGTCTGACCAATCTCACTACCCCTAAGTAGCACACTTGTTCAGAGGAAACAGAGAGCTGTCCCCGGGAGGAGCCAGATAGAATAGCATTGCAGAGCGCAGGCTCCATCTCACAAGCTAAGCACTAATCCAATTCTGAAGTGGCATGACCTAGAGCAGTCCGAACATGCGTGGCCGCATGAATGTCCACACATGTACAGTGTGCTCGGCCAATGCCATTGTGAACCACGAACGCTTCTTTGTATGCTTTAGCATAGCACAGCTGGAGCAGTCTGCGAGTGTGCGACAGCAGGAATGGCGCCCCACACACACACACACACCACTCCACCACCATTTTTGAATGATGTCTTCTGCCGGAGACATCCCCCACCCCCCCCCCCCCCCACACACATGCGGTCCCTAAGAAACGGACAATTGGCAAACCTTAATCTGAAAGCACATTGTCACATCTAACCCTCCTCAAACAACATTTTGATATCCAGATGATCGGTACGAAGATACCAGATAAGGCAACAAACAACTTTTAAAAGCGGATATAAAAGGCAAACTTTAAAAAAAATATTTTAAACCCGAGTGAGAGTTGGAGCCTCTGTCAGGCTTTACCTGCCACCCATATCCCAGCTGGGGAGATTCACCCTCTGTCACCGAGACAGCAAATCCAAAAAGTCATCACCGAGGAAAAGAGGCGAGGACAAATCCTCCAATGAAGTCACTTGTTCCTGGGACAGATCTACAACATGGGAATGCAGTGCACTTCGGGGAGATTTCCTCTCATTTCCAGGACAGGAAATGAAGGATAAATCGCCCCACCAAGGCACAGGCAGCCCAAAATAAGGTCATGGTTTTAACATCCCTTCCTAAAAAAAAAAAAAGTTGTAGCCTTGCAAACACTGGATGCAGACCCTCACTAGGTGAGCCGGAGCTGGAGTTCTGCCTTAGCATCTACCATGTTACGTTTCTGCTGGAATACTGATAACAATGAGGAAGAAATCTCACATCTTTACATGGAATATAAAGGGGACAACAGAGCAATTACAGAAAACATTCACAGGGGATGGCGGGGGCTTATCAACTGCTTTGGGTTAGGATGGAAAGGAGCACTTTGGATGGCCTCTATTCAAGTTGACAACCAGACTTGTGTAGTGGTCCTTTGAGACCAACCGAGCGTCACACAAACTAATAATTACACAGAAACCACAGAAAACACATGCAGAAATAGGCTTCAAAGCATACAGGTGCAGTACACAATATGTCCATGAGGTGGCAGCAGAACACCTACTCCTCTCTTCAGATACTAAGCTGCTGCCATCTAGTGGTTATCTTGCATCAACACATGGCATCCATAAGCGACTGAAAAAGTAATACTACAACCAAAACACCTAATTGTCAGATTCCTGCAGCAGGTAAACACTGTATGCAATATATGGAAAGGGAAAAAAAATCCGGAGAGCTATTAAAGAACCTGACCCACAAAATTACAGACAGGATTCACTTCTTTAACAAAATTTCCAGTTTACGGTCTGTCAGGGTTTGGGGGGTAGGGGGGTGTTAGAGTGAGGCCAGTGGGGGTAGAAAAAGTCCCATCATTGGTTTTAATGGGAGGAATAGGGATCTCAATGAGATGAAAGAAGCCCCATTAATCACGTGAAGACCCGCCATTTTCTGGCACTTTTTGTTTACAAGTTTACATCGGTATATTTTGTCAGAAAAGTAATTAGAACCCCCAAACATTTCATATATATATATATATATATATATATATATATATATATATATACACACATACACACATATATACATACACACACATTATATATATTCACACTTTTTATAAATATATCTATCTATCTATATATATATATATATATACACACACACACACTATATATATATTTATTTATTTTAACAGACCGTAAGGAATGAAATGGTGATTGTTGTAATTTTTAATGTCACGTATTTGCGCAGCAGTTCTTCAAATGCAAACACCCCATTCTTTGGTAAAACATGATAGAGAATGTTACAGCGAGCAAATAGATACCAAATATGTCCTGCTTTACTTAAAGATCTCCATAGGTGACGCTTTACAAATGTTTACAGGTTACCCGAGTTACGGAGGAGGTCTAGCACTAGAATGATTGCTCTCACTAGAACATTCGCGGCGATACCTCACGTGTGCTACGAACATCGGTTACAGAGGCGTAAGCTACTTGTGTATGCGTCCACTTCTGCGCACGAGCATGGAAAGCATTCACTTTTTTTCCTTATTTTATTTTTACACAATTTTTTTATCACTTTTATTCCTATTACAAGGAATGTAAACATGTAATAGAAATAAGCATGACAGGTCCTCTTTAAGGAGAGATCTGGGTAAAAAAAAAAAACAAAATCTCTCCTTTACCTTTAAAACCAAAAGATAAAAAAAAAAAAAAAAAAAAAAAATTGAGGGTGTTGGGTCTCATATCGCTTTCATCAGAAAGTCCAAGGGCCAGATAAGGCCAAGCAAAGGGCCACAGGAGGCCAAGCAAAGGGCCACAGGAGGCCAAGCAAAGGGCCACAGGAGGCCAGTGCTGTAAAACCTCTTTATTATCTTTATCCCAATTCATGGTTGTCGAAGCCCCTCCTCTAACACCCTTACCTGATACGGATCTATGTTGAGATCAAAATACTCCAGGAAGCCGGTGGCGAATTCACAGAACAGGAAGTTGTGCGTCTCGTTGATGGTCCTCAGGCACCAGTAGGTGTTGTTGTTGGCACTGGTACAAGCACAGAACGGCCCGACTGCACAGCAAGAAAGAACAGCGACAGCACTGAATACACCCTGTTAGTGGACGCCGTCCTCTTCTATTCACAGATTATGGAAACCTCCGACAACTAATCCCCCAAATCTCGGCTCCCCGATGATGAATGGCTTTCTGGTATTAAAGTGTATCTAAACCCAAGCTGTAATATACAGCAACTGATCCAATGTGGTTGCTGCATTTGGTTTCTTTTTTTCCCCCAATATTTTCACCAGCAACACACTTCCTGACTAGAGTGACAAACATTCACAAACTGCACTCTATCTATGGAGGAGCAGCGCTGTCAGCCTAGGCTTCTCTCCTGATATGGAATCCAAACACCGCCCCCCCCCCCCACCACCACCACTACTCTTCACAACCTGCAGAAGACAACTGGAAAGCTGTCTGCCTGGAAAAAGAAAACAAACGCAACCACCACATCTAATGACTGATAAGCTGCAGTATATGACATTTGCCCTTAGTTTTACAAACAATTTAATAAATATTGCCCCCCCCCCCACCACCAGGGAATTTTAAAGGGTGTCATCAATACTCAGATACACTAATAAGACCTTACGTGTCCAGAAGGGGGCGGTCTGCCAGTGCTGGTTGTCGTGGGTGAAGCAGGTCAGTCCTGGCATACTGCAAGTGTCATTGTTCTTCAGCCTCTTCAGAAGTTTGCGCAGCTTCTTCTTGCGCCTCTGTTCCCGCAGGAGCCACATCTTGTCCTGAGATTTCAGTGATTTCCTGCATACAAAGGCAACGGTCAGACAGGATGGGGCAGTATGGCAGCTCCGCCTACATGGGAATGGGTCACTATGTACGCCTAACAGTCGGACGGGACAGGGCGGTGCGGACGCTCTAACAGTCAGGCGGCAGTACAGATACCCAATGATCTGAAGGGACAGAACAGTACAGACACCCAGCAGTCAATGAGGTCGGGGAGGTACAGGCGGCCAGCGATCAGAGAGGACGGGGAGGTACAGACGGCCAGCGATCAGAGAGGACGGGGAGGTACAGACGGCCAGCGTCAGAGAGGACGGGGAGGTACAGACGGCCAGCGGTCAGAGAGGACGGGGAGGTACAGGCGGCCAGCGATCAGAGAGGACGGGGAGGTACAGACGGCCAGCGGTCAGAGAGGACGGGGAGGTACAGACGGCCAGCGGTCAGAGAGGACGGGGAGGTACAGGCGGCCAGCGATCAGAGAGGACGGGGAGGTACAGACAGCCAGCGATCAGAGAGGACGGGGAGGTACAGGCGGCCAGCGATCAGAGAGGACGGGGAGGTACAGGCGGCCAGCGATCAGAGAGGACGGGGAGGTACAGACAGCCAGCGATCAGAGAGGACGGGGAGGTACAGACGGCCAGCGGTCAGAGAGGACGGGGAGGTACAGACGGCCAGCGGTCAGAGAGGACGGGGAGGTACAGACGGCCAGCGGTCAGAGAGGACGGGGAGGTACAGACGGCCAGCGGTCAGAGAGGACAGGGAGGTACAGACGGCCAGCGGTCAGAGAGGACGGGGAGGTACAGACGGCCAGCGGTCAGAGAGGACGGGGAGGTACAGACGGCCAGCGGTCAGAGAGGACGGGGAGGTACAGACGGCCAGCGGTCAGAGAGGACGGGGAGGTACAGCGGTCCGGGGGGATGGGATGGATGCCCAGCAGTCAGAAGGGACTAATATCAGGCAATTGTCGGGTTAACATAAACTGGTTGTCAGGCTGTCAGGAAGCTTGCAGTTTGCTGGCCTGTGAGCAGAGAAGGAGGGCGACCCATATGAGAGAAATGTTACTCACTCACAGGGTCTCTGTCACATCCAGGAGGTGCCAGTACTGGAGACCATTGTGATGGGGGGGGGGGATAGTAGTACGGCGACCCCATCAGCACACCTTCCCAAACTACAATCTGCAGAGCAACAGTTTACCAGCTTCCTATATACCTAACAAAGCCCCCCCCCCCCACCGATACTTCTCCACCCCCACCCGCTCAATGAGGTTACTCACTTGAAGGGATGCATCATGGGATCCGTACTCTTCAGCTTCCCATTCTTATGTTTGATGTAACTGCAGGAAAGACAAGCGGGTCGTTTTATGGGTGACACAGAACCCTGAAAACCCCGACTGAGGCTTACTGCTAGTGCCAGCTAATTGGGGGGTCAAGGAGCCACCAGGGGTTTGTACCATTCAGGTGGAGGAGATAAAAAGCGCTTAAGGTGGAGCTATGGGCAAAATAACAAATGGCAGACATGCTGAGGTCTATCACAGTTTTCAGAGATCCACCCCAACAGTTTTATGAATGGTTTATTCTGCCACCAGATCTGTTGTCATCCCATTTCCTGTAACAGGGTGACAACACTGCTCATTTTGCAGTGAAATTGCACAGCAGTGTTGTCACCCTGTGGACAGGGCTGTCCCCGATGTGCTTTTTTTTTTTTTAGGGGGAATTCAAATAAAAATCCCAACTCCAAAAGTGTAAACTGACATTCAAATTTTTACAAAAATAATCCAAAGCAATTCCATAATCATCCGAATAGTACATACCAGAGCTCCTCCTGTTTCATGCTCTGCACATCCTCTCCTTTACACATACAGCTGTGGGGGCGCCACTCTGCAAAAGCCGCTGGCCCCCGCAATCGCTTCCGTCCCGCCATTTGCAGGATGGGCTGGACGCTACATTTGTGTGTCCCCCAGCAGTCGCTCCAAGCCATGCATGCACTCTTTGTTCAAGTGCAGTAGCTGAGCTCAGCTACATGAGAGAGTGCACTGAGCATGCACACAGCTTGAATGGATGGGAGGGGACCACTACTGAGCTTAGCTACATGAGAGGGTGCACTGAGCATGCACACAGTTTGAATGGATGGGAGGGGACCACTACTGAGCTCAGCTACATGAGAGGGTGCACTGAGCATGCACACAGTTTGAATGGATGGGAGGGGACCACTACTGAGCTCAGCTACATGAGAGAGTGCACTGAGCATGCACACAGATGGAATGGACGGGAGGGGACCACTACTGAGCTCGGCTACATGAGAGGGTGCACGGAGCATGCACACAGTGTTTGAATGGACCGGAGCAACTACTACTGAGTTCAGCTACACGAGAGGGTGCATTGAGCATGCACACAGTTTGAATGGCCTGGAGCAACTACTACTGAGCTCAGCTACATGAGAGGGAGCACTGAGCATGCACACAGTTTGAATGGAAAGGAACGACCACTACTAAGCTCAGCTACATTAGAGAGTGCACTGAACATGCACACAGAATGGCCTGCAGCAACGACTACTGAGCTCAGCTACATGAGAGAGTGCACTGAACATGCACACAGTTTGAATGGACTGGAGCAACCACTACTGAGCTCAGCTACATGAGAGGGAGCACTGAGCATGCACACAGTTTGAATGGACTGGAGCAACCACTACTGAGCTCAGCTACATGAGAGGGAGCACTGAGCATGCACATAGTTTGAATGGAAAGGAACGACCACTACTAAGCTAAGCGACATTAGAGAGTGCACTGAGCATGCACACAGTTTGAATGGACTGGAGCAACCACTACTGAGCTCAGCTAGAGAAGGAGAAGCACCTTTGCCATCAGACACACCAGACCTGTGCCTATGGGCACCTGAAGACAAGGGGGGGGGGGGGTGCAAATCCTCTATAAAGAAAACACTGCCATGTTACATCCACACGAGTGCCAACAACCTGGCTGGGACAGACCGACCTGATTTTACTGCAGTCGCAGTCCTCCGGCCTTTTCTTCTTCAGGTGACCTCTGACCTCTCGCAGGTTTTTTATTTTATTCTGCAACGTCTCGATCTAAGAAAGGAAGACAGCGGAGACCGAGTCACAGTGCGGTCATTAGAGTGTTACCCCGACATTTCCCACCCCTGATCTGTGCCTGCTGTACCATGTACCTCGTATGAAGAACACTCCTCTCCTCTTTGTAATGCTTCCTTGGTGTGCATTCCTGGTGTTCCTGCCAGTCCCTCTGCCTTCCTATTAATAACTGACCACACTGGACATGAGAGCACATCCATCCCAGCGTGGTCGGTCTTCTGGCTGTGCTGGGATAACAGCCTGCCTGTCCTCTAATGGTCAAGATTTGCGCTGACACCAACTCCCCTCCCCCCACACAGCCAATCACTGGAAAGATCAGTGTCCCGATTTCTCCTGCTGACACGCCCTCCTGCATTCTCCACCCCCAGCTTTCTAAGCCCCTATACAGCTGAGAACAGAGGTCATGTGATCACTTATAGAAAAATGTCAAATAAAAAGGTTTGTTTTTTTTTTGTAAATACACAAAATGTTTTCGATTTTAGATCTATTTGAAACTGAATGTTTTTGGGGGGGGGGTGGGGGGGGGGGGGGGAGGTCACCTATACTTTATGTGGTGACAGATTTCAGCTGGTGAGCCGGGTCAGGATTCCCTGTGACTGGTCATGCGACCGCTCACTCACCTCGTGGTCGATGTGAACTTTGTGATCCTTCCAGGCCTGCAGAGACTTGTACAGATCCAGATCACACTGCACCGTGTTGTTCGCCAGGATGTGACACCTGAGAGGGGGAGAGATCAGAGAGACCAGATGATTTACAGTCACAACTCCCTACTGCTGGTCTGACAGATCAGATCTTAGACTCACCATAGACAATACAATCTGATTGTACTATCAACCTTGAATCTATTGAGACCGTGTAATATAAGGACCTACCTAACCTATCCAATCATGTTGCATCCAATCAGGCAGACTCCTGCACTACATACTTGTAAGGCAGATTAAAGGAGATTGTAACGTGTGTGGTAAGATGGACACGGATATCGCTCACACAATTGTAACTTTTTGAACAAGTTGCAGTTCCTAGAGTCAAAAAAGAATGACCAGTCCTAGAGGAAAAACTTGTTCTCCATATTTACTGTGTTTAGGTGTTTTCAATCGAATGTTATTCAGCTATTTTCTCTCCAGGTTGAATGTTATCCATTTATTCAGAATAGAGTGAATCAGGAACATACTGCATTACGGCCAGTAGATGGAGCACTGGTGATCAGGTGAAGTAATTCCTGGCTATAATCACTGGCTCCATCTAGTGGCCACAAAGCAGTATTTTCCGACAGGGGTTGTTATGGTAACTGCACTACGGGGTAATGGATGGGGTCTCGCAGTATAGAACATCCATCACCTCCCAATATCTCACCGGTGAGTCACTTTCAGAGCGCTGGGCACCACCAACTCGTTGGTAAGACCCCCCGTCCCGCTGAAATCCTCGTCGTCCTCAGGGCTGGACATGTGACGCTTGGTGACGTTTCTGGTCACAGGTTGGTACTCATGCTCTAACGCCATATTGAAGATCTTCCCGCCCACTTCGACTGTCACTGAGCGCACCGAGCGGTTCCGGAGATAGCCGGACTTGTACTCTGCAAGATGGAGAGAGGGTTCAATACAATGTATAGAGGATGGCCGAACTTACCCTGTCGTGGGGCGCCGGACACGGCGCAGGCAGTCGGGCGAAGCCACCGGCGACACGGCGCAGGCAGTCGGGCGACACACGGGACACGGCGCACGGCGGCAGTCGGGCGACACCGGACACGGCGCAGGCAGTCGGGCGACGCCGGACACGGCGCAGGCAGTCGGGCGACGCCGGACACGGCGCAGGCAGTCGGGCGACGCCGGACACGGCGCAGGCAGTCGGGCGACGCCGGACACGGCGCAGGCAGTCGGGCGACGCCGGACACGGCGCAGGCAGTCGGGCGACGCCGGACACGGCGCAGGCAGTCGGGCGACGCCGGACAGCCGGACTAGGCGGGCCACGGCGCAGGGCAGTCGCGAAGCGGACACGGCCGGACACGGCGCAGGCAGTCGGGCGACGCCGGACACGGCGCAGGCAGTCGGGCGACGCCGGACACGGCGCAGGCAGTCGGACGGCGCAGGCAGTCGGGCGACGCCGGACACGGCGCAGGCAGTCGGGCGACGCCGGACTTCATTCACAAAGCGCAAACATCACAAAGATGTGCAATTGGTTAGTTATTACCGATTATATACAATGTATCTAAAGCCATCTACAGATGAATTGTTTTGTTACAAACATTTCCCCTCAGACCCCCCCCCCCCCCCCCACCAGGAACAATCTTAAAAGTAAGAGAAACCAACTTCAATGAACACGGAGCCTATAAGGCTTCCTTTAGACTAGTAGTTGGAAGAGCACAGGGGGGCACCTTTGGACAGCCGCATTGTCCATCTCGGGGAACGGGAGTGATAGTGTATCTAAATCTGCTAGCGCATCTAACTGAAAGCGAACACAGCTCACACTTTATAATCCGTGACAGTTTGTTTCCTTTTGGGACAGAGGTTTTACAAAACTAAAAGCAGATTATAAGCACCCGTCAGCGGTAAATGGTTTGTCTCATCCCTGTAACGGCTACATCTGCAGGAGAGCTTGTTCTTTTAAAAAAAAAAAAAAAAAAAACAACAGACTTACTGGCAGGATCACCGGGTGAAAATAAAAGCAAGCCTACAAATGAAAAATAATTCAGCCGCCACATCTAAGAATTGGTAAACTGTCACATAGTAAATATTTGTGTTTGGATCCGATCCCGACATAAGCTGAAACGGCAGCGATCACATGCTGCCATCGCCATGCTTTGCTACCACCGCAAAAACGTAGTAGGTGTGGAGGTCGTCGTGGCGGAGGGGGAGGTGGCGCGGAGGCCGGAGAGGTGGCGTATCTTGGAGAGGTGGCGCAGGTCGGAGAGGTGGAGGAGGAGGTCGGAGAGGTGGAGGAGGAGGTCAGAGAGGAGGAGGTCGGAGAGAGGTGGCGTAGGTCGGAGAGGTGGAGAGGTGGAGAGGAGGTCAGGAGAGGTTGGCGTAGGTCAGGTCGGAGAGGTGGCGCAGGTCGGAGAGGTGGCGCAGGCCAGAGGTGTGGCGCAGGTCGGAGAGGTGGCGGAGGCCGGAGAGGTGGCGGAGGCCGGAGAGGTGGCGGAGGCCGGAGAGGTGGCGGAGGCCGCGAGGTCGGAGAGGTGTGCGGAGGCCGGAGAGGTGGCGGAGGCCGGAGAGGTGGCGGAGGAGAGGTGGCGGAGAGGTGGCAGAGATGAAGTCTCCAAGATTTGAACAGTGATTGGATTTGGGGCTGAAAGGACAGATGGGTGGAGATGGGTGATGGCATTCACTGGGCGGACCCTGCTGTCCATGTTTGGGAGCCCAGAATATATATACACAGACGATCCTTCCCGGTAATATAGATCCCTACATCTGAAAGATGCCTTTTTTTTTTGTCTTGTGATTGGTTCACTGTGCCTGCATTACAGCCAAACCTCCACATGATGGCGTCAGAGCACCACAAGCCCAGGAGGTGGCAGCACCATCACTGAGCAATCAATACATTTTATATAAATTAGAACCAATCACAGAACTCTCTTCCCTCCTCCGGTAATCTCGGCCAATGATCTGCACGGTCCGCGTTCACCTCGCTGTGATTAATATCCCCTCTTTACACGGCAAATGGCGTTCACCGCTCACCGAGCGACCGCTAATGACTGAAGGGGGGAAGTTCAATCTGCGCGCTTGATTGCCATTGGCTAATATCCAGTCTGTTATTACGTCCTTCATCCTTCCAGCAACAAGTCAATGTCTTGTCTACTAATGGCTGGATTGGGGGGGGGCTTACTTCAGTCCCCCCTCCCCCAGGTGATCAGACTGTACATTGTAACATTGTGTGATCTCTGTGAGAGGTAATACATACCTGGAAGTGTTCCAGTGACCAGCGGTGTCGCTATGGGGGTGCAAGGGGTGCAGACTGCGACACATACCAGAGGGCAATAGCACTGCCGTAGCTATAGTGGTCGCAGGGGTTGCAATTGAGACCCTCGTCCCTACTCCAGGGAGCCCGTGTGGCCCCTGTCACACTGTCACTGGGCAAAAGTAGACTCAGGTCAGTTGGGAGTTGTAGTCTTTTCCAGCAGACAAGAATGGGTACTGTGGCAAGGGACGGACTACTATTCCCATGATGCTTTGTGTCGGTGTACTGTCATGGGATGCAGCGCAGGGCTCCCAGATGGCCCGGGCCCTTCAAGTTTACTTCCCCAGGGTAGGTTGAGTGGAGAACAATGTCCGGAGTTCACGGAGTGAGGAGCTGAGACTCTGCAGGGCGGGAGAGAGACCAAAGAAGGGCGGTCTGAGCCAAGAGGGGGCCTCTACTGAGGACAGGCTATACTGAGGATATGGGCTGCCAGGGGGGTCTGCACTGAAGGAGGAGGGGGGCTGTACTATAGGAAGGGGGGGGGGGTCATCTGTATTTAGTGGGGGGGGGGGGGGGGTCTGAGGAAGAAGGATCATACTTGGTGGAGGGGGGGGCGGTGACACCATGGTTACCCCACCAGGAGACATCAACCTTAGTGACACCCGCTCTAACACACTGGGGCCGGGATGTTGCAGAGACCCCTATACCCGCTCTAACACACTGGGGCCGGGATGTTGCAGAGACCCCTATACCCGCTGTCATACACTGGGGCCGGGATGTTGCAGAGACCCCTATACCCGCTGTCATACACTGGGGCCGGGATGTTGCAGAGACCCCTATACCCGCTGTCATACACTGGGGCCGGGATGTTGCAGAGACCCCTATACCCGCTCTCACACACTGGGGCCGGGATGTTGCAGAGACCCCTATACCCGCTGTCATACACTGGGGCCGGGATGTTGCAGAGACCCCTATACCCGCTGTCATACACTGGGGCCGGGATGTTGCAGAGACCCCTATACCCGCTGTCATACACTGGGGCCCAGAGCTGTCATACACTGGGGCCGGGATGTTGCAGAGACCCCTATACCCGATCTCATACACTGGGGCCGGGATGTTGCAGAGACCCCTATACCCGATCTCACACACTGGGGCCGGGATGTTGCAGAGACCCCTATACCCGATCTCACACACTGGGGCCGGGACGTTGCAGAGACCCCTATACCCGATCTCACACACTGGGGCCGGGACGTTGCAGAGACCCCTATACCCGATCTCACACACTGGGGCCGGGATGTTGCAGAGACCCCTATACCCGATCTCACACACTGGGGCCGGGATGTTGCAGAGACCCCTATACCCAATCTCATACACTGGGGCCGGGATGTTGCAGAGACCCCTATACCCGATCTCACACACTGGGGCCGGGATGTTGCAGAGACCCCTATACCCGATCTCACACACTGGGGCCGGGATGTTGCAGAGACCCCTATACCCGCTGTCACACTGGGGCCGGGATGTTGCAGAGAGACCCCTATACCCGATCTCATACACTGGGGCCGGGATGTTGCAGAGACCCCTATACCCGATCTCATACACTGGGGCCGGGATGTTGCAGAGACCCCTATACCCGATCTCACACACTGGGGCCGGGATGTTGCAGAGACCCCTATACCCGCTGTCATACACTGGGGCCGGGATGTTGCAGAGACCCCTATACCTGATCTCATACACTGGGGCCGGGATGTTGCAGAGACCCCTATACCCGATCTCATACACTGGGGCCGGGATGTTGCAGAGACCCCTATACCCGATCTCACACACTGGGGCCGGGATGTTGCAGAGACCCCTATACCCGATCTCACACACTGGGGCCGGGATGTTGCAGAGACCCCTATACCCGATCTCACACACTGGGGCCGGGATGTTGCAGAGACCCCTATACCCGATCTCACACACTGGGGCCGGGATGTTGCAGAGACCCCTATACCCGATCTCACACACTGGGGCCGGGATGTTGCAGAGACCCCTATACCCGCTGTCACACTGGGGCCGGGATGTTGCAGAGACCCCCATACCCGATCTCATACACTGGGGCCGGGACGTTGCAGAGACCCCTATACCCGATCTCACACACTGGGGCCGGGATGTTGCAGAGACCCCTATACCCGATCTCATACACTGGGGCCGGGATGTTGCAGAGACCCCTATACCCGATCTCACACACTGGGGCCGGGATGTTGCAGAGACCCCTATACCCGATCTCACACACTGGGGCCGGGATGTTGCAGAGACCCCTATACCCGATCTCACACACTGGGGCCGGGACGTTGCAGAGACCCCTATACCCGATCTCATACACTGGGGCCGGGATGTTGCAGAGACCCCTATACCCGCTGTCACACACTGGGGCCGGGATGTTGCAGAGACCCCTATACCCGATCTCACACACTGGGGCCGGGACGTTGCAGAGACCCCTATACCCGATGTCATACACTGGGGCTGGGATGTTGCAGAGACCCCTATACCCGCTGTCACACACTGGGGCCGGGATGTTGCAGAGACCCCTATACCCGATCTCACACACTGGGGCCGGGACGTTGCAGAGACCCCTATACCCGCTGTCATACACTGGGGCCGGGATGTTGCAGAGACCCCTATACCCGCTGTCATACACTGGGGCCGGGATGTTGCAGAGACCCCTATACCCGATCTCACACACTGGGGCCGGGACGTTGCAGAGACCCCTATACCCGATCTCACACACTGGGGCCGGGATGTTGCAGAGACCCCTATACCCGCTGTCATACACTGGGGCCGGGATGTTGCAGAGACCCCTATACCCGATCTCATACACTGGGGCCGGGATGTTGCAGAGACCCCTATACCCGATCTCACACACTGGGGCCGGGATGTTGCAGAGACCCCTATCACACCCGATCTCACACACTGGGGCTGGGATGTTGCAGAGACCCCTATACTCGCTGTCACACACTGGGGCTGGGATGTTGCAGAGACCCCTATACCCGCTGTCACACTGGGGCCGGGACGTTGCAGAGACCCCTATACCCGCTGTCAATGTGTGTGATATGGCACTCCATGTGCCGTAGAGATGTATGGAGAGGACTGTACCCTCTCACGGGTGCAGCTGCCGGATCTGACTCCCTTTGTGCTCCCAGTAAATCAGACCTCATCAGCCTCTGCAGGCGACACATTCAGTCCTTCGCCCAGCCCCCACCCTCCATGATATGTGGACAGGACCGTTTTCCATCTTCCACCCGGACATGCAGGGGTGGCCGAGCGCTCCGTGTCACTGTGCTGGAGTCGGATTTTCCAGGGCCGTCGCTGTGGAAAGTCATTTAGCGGATTTACGGCCCCTCTGCGGGAATTGGGCGTCTCACGAGGTGACGATACCGCGATAACTTTACTGCCGCGCTGGAAAAGTCGCCGCGCCAGCCAAGCAACGGCGAGAAAAATACCAAGGCCTCTCGGAGGGGCATTAACACCACATTAATGGGGGAGAAAGAAAAACATGAAGAACTGCGGAATTTTCCAGAATGGGAGATGAGAGAGCAGCTGCATTCCGCAACCAACTTAAAGGAGAACTCCGGGCCAACACAGAAAAAGATGAAATCTATGGAAGAGGCTTTACCTGACAAAGGATTTGTATCTCTATCCATCCAGTCCTGACATTTACACAGCCCTGTCTGGCGGGAGGTCTTCTCCCTCCCCTGCCTGTGATTGGACAGTGAAAGAAGCAGCAGCAGACTGATGAGCTCTTCTGTCACTCTGCTCTCTCCTCCTATCATGCTCCAGGTACTACATCATAGCTGATTGCCTCCTCACGCTGCTTCTTCCTCCCCCAGTCTGAGCTCTGCTGTACAGGGACTACAGGAGGCTGATACCAGATCACATTCAGCTGCTTGTAATTAATGACAGTTAATGATTCAGAGCCGCATTACTTTGTGTTTGTTTTATATCTCCCCAGAGTTCCCTTTTATATTACTCAATACTAGCTGAAAGTAGAAATCAGCACACTGATCTGTACACTGGACGTCTGATTGGTTGGAGCGGTCGGCTGCAGATCATCACTCCATGCTAATAAAGCCTGCGGCCATTACTACAGGGAAGGGAGAGGCAACCTCACCGGGTGTTTGCTGCCACATATGTCTTGAATTGGTGCTCATGGGGGAGGATTGGGGGGGGGGGATTGGGGGGGGGGGGGGATTGGGGGGGGGGATTGGGGGGGGTGGATTGGGGATGGGGTGAATTCCCGCCTGTCGATATACGGAGTCCTTCTCTTCTGCAGTATCTGCTCGGCTCACATCTTCCAATCTCCTCTGCGGTCGGCTCCGTCCCATTTAGATATCACAGCGGCTGGGCGGAAGATTCCCAGATGGGAAAAGTGTTTCCAGTCCCGGATACAAAACTATAAAGAGGACCTGTCTACATCATCACCTTCTATATCCTCATAATGACGCACAGCTGGTCGTGATGATGTCATACATCCGCCCGCCATCAGACTGATAGATCTGGGAAATGCAGAATTCTGACATATTTCATAACACACACCTACCCAGCACTACCCCATACCACCTCCACAGGGCCTCTAACACTGGATGGGAATATGTACGGCTCTGTACAGCGCTGTGGTATATGTCAGAGCTATAGAGGGTGTGACTGTGGGGGAGGGGGCATTAGAGTGTAAGCTCCTCTGGTACAGAGACTGATGGGACTGTGGGGGAGGGGACATTAGAGTGTAAGCTCCTCTGGTACAGAGACTGATGTGACTGTGGGGGAGGGGGCATTAGAGTGTAAGCTCCTCTGTACAGAGACTGACGGGGCTGTGGGGGAGGGGACATCAGAGTGTAAGCTCCTCTGGTACAGAGACTGATGTGACTGTGGGGGAGGGGGCATTAGAGTGTAAGCTCCTCTGTACAGAGACTGACGGGGCTGTGGGGGAGGGGACATTAGAGTGTAAGCTCCTCTGGTACAGAGACTGATGGGACTGTGGGGGAGGGGACATCAGAGTGTAAGCTCCTCTGGTACAGAGACTGATGGGACTGTGGGGGAGGGGACATTAGAGTGTAAGCTCCTCTGGTACAGAGACTGATGGGACTGTGGGGGAGGGGCATTAGAGTGTAAGCTCCTCTGGTACAGAGACTGATGTGACTGTGTGGGGGGGGGAGGGGGCATTAGAGTGTAAGCTCCTCTGTACAGAGACTGACGGGGCTGTGGGGGAGGGGACATTAGAGTGTAAGCTCCTCTGGTACAGAGACTGATGGGACTGTGGGGGAGGGGGCAATAGAGTGTAAGCTCCTCTGGTACACAGACTGATGGGACTGTGGGGGAGGGGGCATTAGAGTGTAAGCTCCTCTGGTACAGAGACTGATGTGACTGTGGGGGAGGGGATATTAGAGTGTAAGCTCCTCTGTACAGAGACTGATGTGACTGGGGGGGGGAGGGGGCATTAGAGTGTAAGCTCCTCTGTACAGAGACTGACGGGGCTGTGGGGGAGGGGACATTAGAGTGTAAGCTCCTCTGGTACACAGACTGATGTGACTGTGGGGGAGGGGGCATTAGAGTGTAAGCTCCTCTGGTACGGAGGACTGATGTGACTGTGGGGGAGGGGGCATTAGAGTGTAAGCTCCTCTGACTGTTCTCTGTATTTTGGAACACGCTGAGGCCATAAACACAGAGTGGAGATAAACATAGATATCCTCAATCAGAGATCGATCTATTACCAGCATACACTGTTACAGAAACGTTCGGTCAGATACTCACTTTTCTTGGTGAGAAGTTTCTTGCGGCGGCCCAGCGGCGTCATCTTGTAGCTGATGGAGTCGCAGTTGCACTCGTCGCTGCTGTAGTAGTTTGCTCATGAGGTTGGGGGATTTATTTACACTGCTGGGGACAGCCGACAGACTTGCCATCCCTTTACACTTGTGTAGTCGCAGCTTTCCTGTCGCATCCTCGACGCACTGCCATTTCTATGGGGGGGGGGAAATTCCAGATGTTTAATGTGTCATGTACCCCCCCGCTAAGAGAGGCACTTGGCCTTCATGCACAGGGTACAGTTACCTATTTATGTAGCTGAGACTATCAGCCATTTAATGGCCGCCCCCCAACATTTAGGGGCAAATCCTGGCTGTCAGAATGACAGCCGTAGTTGCTGTGCTTTGCCGTTACTCTGAGTGCTGTAAAAACTCAGAGCTGCTTACAACGTCTAACAATGACTCCGATGCAGATCAATGCAGAGTAGCAGTTACTTTTTTTTTTACTTCTGTATTTTCTCTGTTCTGTACATCTTCAAATGAAAAGGAAACGCTTCCATCTGCAAAGGACGTCTTAAAGCAACATGGCGAGGAAAAAATGATATACTATATATACACAGCGGGTACAATAGGTATTGGGGGGGCACCATATTTATCTGTAAATAGATTCCTAAAGGTGTTATTGATGTGAAATGTTCACCACGTCTAACAACCCGTCCAATCCATCCATACAAAGAATCCACAACTACTTCTATTGCCAAATGTATTGGGCCGCCTGCCTTGTGGTACATTCACCCCCCGTGTATTATATATATATATATATTATACACTATATTGCCCCAAGTATTAGCCCCCCCCCGGCCTTCCCACACACATGACCTTTAATGGCCCCCAGTCTTAGTCTGTAGGGTTCAATATTGAGTTGGCCCCGCCTTTCCACACACATGACCTTTAATGGCCCCCAGTCTTAGTCTGTAGGGTTCAATATTGAGTTGGCCCCGCCCTTTCCACACACATGACCTTTAATGGCCCCCAGTCTTAGTCCGTGGGGTTCAATATTGAGTTGGCCCCGCCCTTTCCACACACATGACCTTTAATGGCCCCCCAGTCTTAGTCCGTAGGGTTCAATATTGAGTTGGCCCCGCCCTTTCCACACACATGACCTTTAATGGTCCTCCCAGTCTTAGTCCGTAGGGTTCAATATTGAGTTGGCCCCGCCCTTTCCACACACATGACCTTTAATGGCCCCCCAGTCTTAGTCCGTAGGGTTCAATATTGAGTTGGCCCCGCCCTTTGCAGCTTCAACTCTTCTGGGAAGGCCGTCCACAAGGTTTAGGAGGGGTGTCTATGGGAAGGTTGGACCATTCTTCCAGAAGCACATTTGTCAGGTCAGGCACTGATGTCGGGGGAGGAGGCCTGGCTCGCAGTCTCCGCTCTAATTCATCCCAAAGGTGTTCTATGGGGTTGAGGTCAGGACTCTGTGCAGGACAGTCAAGGTCCTCCACCCCAAACTGGCTCCTCCATGTCTTTATGGACCTTGCTTTGTGCAATGGGGGGCAGTCATGTTGGAACAGGAAGGGGCCATCCCCAAACTCCTCCCACAAAGTTTGAAGCATGAAATTGTCCAAAATGTCACCTTAAGAGTTCCCTTCACTGGAACTAGGGGGCCAAGCCCAACCCCTGAGTAACAACCCCACACCATAATCCCCCCTCCACCAAACTTTACACTTGGCACAATGCAGTCAGGCAAGTACCGTTCTCCTGGCAACTGCCAAACCCAGACACGTCCATCGGATTGCCAGACAGAGAAGCGTGATTGGTCACTCCAGAGAACATGCCTCCACTGTTCTAGAGTCCAGTAGCGGCGTGCTTTACACCATGGCATTCGACGCTTTGCATTGCACTCGGTGATGGAAGGCTTGGATGCAGCTGCTCGGCCATGGAAATTCCATCTGAAGGCCACACCAAGTTTGGAGGTCTTTAGCTATTGACTCTGCAGACAGTTGGAGACTTCTGCGCACTGTGCGCTTCAGCATGCGCTGACCCCGCCCTGTCATGTGACGTGGCCTACCACTTGGTGGCTGAGTGGCTGTTGTTCCCAGTTGCTTCCACTTTGTTATAATCCCACTAACAGTTGAGCGTGGAATATTTAGTAGCCAGGAAATGTCACGGATGGACTTATTGCCCAGGTGACCACCTATCACGGGACCACGCTTGGAGTCACTGAGCTTCTGAGAGCGACCCATTCTTTCACCAATGTTTGTAGAAGCTGTCTGCATGCCTAGGGGCTTGATTGTATACACCTGTGTCCATGGAGGGGATTGGAGCACCTGAATCACATGATTGGGAGGGATTGGAGCACCTGAATCACATGATATGGAGGGGATTGGAGCACCTGAATCACATGATATGGAGGGATTGGAGCACCTGAATCACATGATATGGAGGGGATTGGAACACCTGAATCACATGATATGGAGGGGATTGGAACACCTGAATCACATGATATGGAGGGAATTGGAACACCTGAATCACATGATATGGAGGGGATTGGAACACCTGAATCACATGATATGGAGGGATTGGAACACCTGAATCACATGATATGGAGGGGATTGGAACACCTGATCCATGATTGGGAGGGCGGGGGGGCCAATACTTTTGGCAATATAGTGCATCAGGAGTACTCAGTGGTTTTGTACATCAATATTAATATGAGAATACAGATGACAATTAGTGGGTGAGGAGGATTGTGGGCCATTACCTGTCCCAGCTGCTCGCAGGCCGTCTGGTATTCGGCTCGCTGACACAAGTCTTTGACTCGCTGATACTTGGGCAGAAAATTCTCCTCTTGGGCATCCGCTTTCTCCACCTCTCTCTTATGCAGCAGTTTACTAATATGTGGACAGGAGGAGAAAAAGATCTAAGATTGGGGGTTGTGGAGGTAAGTGATCACACCTGTCCTGGTAACATCTGCATTCACTGCCCGGGCCCCTCCCCCCTTCACCTTATGTCAGCAGCTGTAAAAGGTACCTTTAGTCCTGTTCACACTGATGTGCTGCAGAATTCTCAGCGTTTTCAGTGCGAATTCCGCACAGCATCAGAATCGCACCCAGTTTATGCGAACCGCTGCAGGTGTGTATGTTAACACCCCGAAATCGGTCCACAAAACGTGGTGCGACGTACAGGATCGGATCACATAGGTGTGAACACCCATGCAGACCAAAAAGGGTCCTGTACGTTTTTGTTGCGGATGCGGTACAATTTCAGCCATACCAAATGTACGGCTCCAATCGCACCGCACACATATAGCATGTGATCTGCAGGGAATGCGGTGCGGTTCCTGTGTGAGTAACATGGGATTTACACCGCGCGCCGCTGTAGTGTGAACCCGAGCTGAAGGACAACAGATTTAATTTCCTTGCCCACCTGCAGCGCCTAGCTTAAGATGATGATGGCGCGCCCGGCGAGGTCAGGATGATGATGGCGCGCCCGGCGAGGTCAGGATGGTGATGGCGCCCCTGGCGAGGTCAGGATGGTGATGGCGCCCCCGGCGAGGTCAGGATGGTGATCATGGCGCCCCCGGCGAGGTCAGGATGGTGATCATGTGCCCCCGGCGAGGTCAGGATGGTGATCATGGCGCCCCCGGCGAGGTCAGGATGATGATGTGCCCCTGGAGAGGTCAGGATGATGATCACACCCCCTGGAGAGGTCAGGATGGATGATCGCACAACCCCCGGCGAGGTCAGGATGATGTGATGGCGCCCCTGGCGAGGTCAGGATGATGATGTGCCCCCCGGCGAGGTCAGGATGATGATCACGCCCCCCGGAGAGGTCAGGATGATGATCGCGCCCCCCGGAGAGGTCAGGATGATGATCGCGCCCCCCGGAGAGGTCAGGATGATGATCGCGCCCCCCGGAGAGGTCAGGATGATGATCGCGCCCCCCGGAGAGGTCAGGATGATGATCGCGCCCCCCGGAGAGGTCAGGATGATGATCGCGCCCCCCGGAGAGGTCAGGATGATGATCGCGCCCCCCGGAGAGGTCAGGATGATGATCGCGCCCCCCGGAGAGGTCAGGATGATGATCGCGCCCCCCGGAGAGGTCAGGATGATGATCGCGCCCCCCGGAGAGGTCAGGATGATGATCGCGCCCCCCGGAGAGGTCAGGATGATGATCGCGCCCCCCCGGAGAGGTCAGGATGATGATCGCGCCCCCCGGAGAGGTCAGGATGATGATCGCGCCCCCCGGAGAGGTCAGGATGATGATCGCGCACCCCCCGGAGAGGTCAGGATGATGATCGCGCCCCCCCCGGAGAGGTCAGGATGATGATCGCGCCCCCCGGAGAGGTCAGGATGATGATCGCGCCCCCCGGAGAGTTCAGGATGATGATCACGTGCCCTTGGCGAGGTTAGGATGATGATCACGTGCCCTTGGCGAGGTCAGGATGACGATCACACCCTTGGAGAGGTCAGGATGATGATCGCGCCCCCCCCGGAGAGGTCAGGATGACGATCACACCCCCTTGGCGAGGTCCAGGGGAATACAGAGCAGCTATTAGACGCTCTTACAATGGACAGGAGGGCCTTCTCATGAGGTTTCTCCTGCTCTGCACACCCCAGGAACTGTTTCAGAAGGACGGTGAGGTCACATCCAGCTACGCAGAAGACGGGATGATAACTCCAGATACACTTCGCATTCACTAACATTATCTGCTTTATAAAGGGGAGTGAAACCCTCACCATTAATGCAGAGCATGTATTGTAATGCAACTTCCACTTTTGCCCCCCTAAGCTGTGCAGTCAGATCAGGTTTCCCCATATTGTACAGCATCTCATTCACATACAGAGCTCACGGATCTAATTGTAATGACATCATAAATATGTAGAAGTGACAACTCACACCCCCGCTCCACCAGGAACGAATCTCTCCACACCTTCACTTTTTTGTGCACTTGAAACCTGTAATGGAAATAATTCACGTGAACACTTCTGGTGATTGAGCAGAGACCTGCGACCCCTCAGACCAGCTCAGACCCTTCGCCTCTTCAATGCACGTAGCCCCCCAGCCCCTCCAAGGCACGTAGCCCCTCCAGCACACGCAGCCCCTCCGGCACACTCTGCCCCCCAGCCCCTCCGGCACACGCAGCCCCCCATCCGCGTTCCGGCACACACAGCCCCTCCGGCACTAGCAGCCCCCAAGCCCTCTGTGTCACTCCGGCACTAGCAGCCCCAAGCCCCTCCGGCGCATGCAGCCCCCCAGCCCCTCCGGCGCACGCAGCCCCCCAGCCCCTCCGGCGCACGCAGCCCCCAGCCCCTCCGGCGCACGCAGCCCCCCGGCGCACGCAGCCCCCCCAGCCCCTCCAAGGCACGTAGCCCCTCCAAGGCACGTAGCCCCCTCCAGCACACGCAGCCCCTCCGGCACACACAGCCCCCCATCCTCTCCGGCACACACAGCCCCTCCGGTACTAGCAGCCCCAAGCCCCTCCGGCGCAGCACGCAGCCCCCCAGCCCACGCAGCCCCCCAGCCCCTCCGGCGCACGCAGCCCCCCAGCTCCCCTCCGCGCACGCAGCCCCCCAGCCCCTCCGGCGCACGCAGCCCCTCCGGCGCACGCAGCTCCCCAGCCCACACAGCCCCCCAGCCCCTCTGGCGGACGCAGCCCCCCAGCCCCTACGGCGCACGCAGCCCCAAGCCCCTCCGGCACATGCAGCCCATCTGGCACAAGTGACACACAGCCCCTCCAGGACATTTGGCCCTCCTCTGACACACGTAGCCCCCCCCCCAGAACACGCAGCCCCAAGCCCCTCAGGCACACGCAGCCCATCTGGCACAAATGACACACACGCAGCCCCTCCAGGACACGTGGCCCCCCTCCAGCACATGCAGCCCCTTCGGCACACACAGCCCCTTCAGCAGACGCAGCCCCCCCCCCCAGCCCCTCTGGCACAAGTGCCCCCCCAGCCCCTCCGGCACAAGCATCCCCCCCCAGCCCCTCCAATGCATATCAATCAGCACACAGACCTACAGCACTCAGGAACACCCATTGGTGAGTGATGGGATCAGAGACTAACGAGATAGCGCTCTATTCTCACAGCCAATCAGATTCAAAGAAAGTTTGTATTTGTTACAATGTATCAGCTGACTACATCTCAGACGTGGGGTGTCATGGCTGCCTGCATACAATAGCCAGCAGTGGAGAATCCTTTCCTGCCAACCGTGGAATGGGCAAGCTAAGGAAGGGGGAGGGGTGTTCACTCGGGAGTGGGGTGGCAATGGTAATATCCAAAAAAAAAAAAGGCGCCTGTCTGAGGACTCAAAGCCTCCTGATCGCGGCATCATCGTCACATCCGAGGCCAATTAACGCCAATTAACTGCCGCTTTCCCGGGGAAATTTCCCAATCAAGTCAACTTTGAAAGTCGTCGTCTCCATGGTTACCACAAAGCCGCGTGACACCCCCAGGTCGGGCATTTCATGTGACATTAAAAGAGGAACAGAAAAATGTGAAATGCTAAAACAGAACGGTGAACTTGCGAGAGGCGCGGAGGTAATTAGGCGCAGTGATGTCATCTGTGATGGACTACGTTCTGATAAGACTCGCCTTCCTCAAACATTACATTGTATCTTATGTCTGAAGTGGAAACAATGTATACATTCACAGGAAAAGCTTGGAACAAACAAATGATCTATATATATGTAGAAATTTTTCCCTTCATCTCCTTTCTGCGCAATTCTATGTAAACCTGGAACTTGCAATGGTCTGTCCTCCATGAAGCTGGCGCCCATCCGTGGTCAGGGGTCTGCATACAGAAATCGTGCGCATCTACCCCTCCCCCATCTATTATTCTATTCGATCTTTGGAAATCCAACTCCAGGCATGCAGCTAAAACACACCAATGAACTAAAAGTAAAGGAGCTGCTTAGCTGCCATAGGATTTGTATTTCTGTCCATCCTGTCCTAAGATTTACACAGCTCTGCCACGCAGGGCAGGAGACCCAACTTCTCTCTGCTGCAGTTCAGTAAAACTTTAAAGTGATACCAAAGGTTTGAATTAAAAAGAAAAAAACCTCATGTCTATACTTTCCTGATCTATGAAGGGGTTTTGCACAGAGCAGCCCAGATCCTCTTCTCAGGGCCGCCGCTCCTGTCGGGTGCCCCCAGAGCAAGCAGCTTGCTATGGGGGCACCAGAGCAGGTGTGATTCCAAGCCGCTGCTCCGTGTATTCATAGAATGCATGAAGGTAAAAATCCTTCAGTCTGTACAACCACTTTAAGGCCTTGCCCTCCCCCAGCCAGTGACTGGACAGGGAAGGGAGAAGCGGCACACTGATAAACTCGTCTCACTGCTCTCTCCTCCCATCAGCACGCTCCTCATTAGCATATAAGCACTAAAGCACAACTGGCTCCTTTCGCTGCATCTCGATCTCTCAGACTGAGCTTTGCAGGGACTGCATGAGGCTGATAATTCAAATTCCCGTGTTTCCACCGCTAGTACATAAAGTGTAAGTTCAGCCCAACACTCACGATGCAATTAAATCTACTCCCACCCCCCCCCCCCCCCCCTGATTCCATATACCCTGTAAAGGAAAGATCTGTATACTTACCGGAGTCCCTGACCTCAATGTAGAGAAGGGATCACCGACACCCAACTGCAGATCCAGAGCCACGACGTCACCCATAGACTTACTATGAGGCATCTCTTGTCGGCTGTCCCTCCCCTACGCTGAAGCCGGAACTGGGACCAGATCACGTGACCGGATCAAAGCGCCCTCAGCAGAGGTAAGTAGACAGACCTTTCATTTACAGCAAGGGGTCTCCAAACTTTCGAAGCAAAGGGCCGTTTCACTGTCCTTCAGATTTTAGGGGGGCTGGACTGTGGTCATTGGGAGTACAAGATGTCTTAGCAGCAGTGGAAGTAAACAGTCCCCCTTCATTGGTGTCATTGGGAGGAACAGTGCCCCATCATTGGTGTCAGTGGGAGGAATAGCGCCCCATCATTGGTGTCAGTGGGAGGAATAGTGCCCCATCATTGGTGTCATTGGGAGGAATTGGTTGTCAGTGGGAGGAACAGTCCCCCTTCATTGGTGTCAGTGGGAGGAATAGTGCCCCATCATTGGTGTCATTGGGAGGAACAGTGCCCCATCATTGGTGTCATTGGGAGGAACAGTCCCCCTTCATTGGTGTCAGTGGAGGAACAGTGCCCCTTCATTGGTGTCAGTGGGAGGAATAGTGCCCCATCATTGGTATCAGTGGAAGGAATAGTACCCCATCATTGGTATCAGTGGAAGGAATAGTACCCCATCATTGGTATCAGTGGAAGGAATAGTACCCCATCATTGGTATCAGTGGAAGGAATAGTACCCCATCATTGGTGTCAGTGGGAGGAATAGTGCCCCATCATTGGTATCAGTGGGAGGAATAGTGCCCCATCATTGGAATTGTGTCAGTGGGAGGAATAGTGCCCCATCATTGGTGTCAGTGGGAGGAACAGTGCCCCTCATTGGTATCAGTGGAAGAGAATAGTGCCCCATCATTGGTGTCAGTGGGAGGAATAGTGCCCCATCATTGGTGTCAGTGGGAGGAATAGTGCCCCATCATTGGTGTCAGTGGGAGGAATAGTGCCCCATCATTGGTGTCAGTGGGAGGAATAGTGCCCCATCATTGGTGTCATTGGGAGGAATAGTGCCCCATCATTGGTGTCATTGGGAGGAATAGTGCCCCATCATTGGTGTCAGTGGGAAGGAATAGTACCCCATCATTGGTATCAGTGGAAGGAATAGTGCCCCATCATTGGTGTCAGTGGGAGAAATAGTGCCCCATCATTGGTGTCAGTGGGAGAAATAGTGCCCCATCATTGGTGTCAGTGGGAGGAATAGTGCCCCATCATTGGTGTCAGCGGGAGGAATAGTGCCCCATCATTGGTGTCAGTGGGAGGAATAGTGCCCCATCATTGGTGTCAGCAGGAGGAATAGTGCCCCATCATTGGTATCAATGGGAGGAATAGTGCCCCATCATTGGTGTCAGTGGAAGGAATAGCACCCCATCATTGGTGTCAGTGGGAGGAATAGTGCCCCATCATTGGTATCAGTGGAAGGAATAGCACCCCATCATTGGTGTCAGTGGGAGGAATAGTGTCCCATCATTGGTGTCAGTGGGAGGAATAGTGTCCCATCATTGGTGTCAGTGGGAGGAATAGTACCCCATCATTGGTGTCAGTGGGAGGGAATAGTGCCCCATCATTGGTGTCAGTGGGGGGAATAGTGCCCCATCATTGGTGTCAGTGGGAGGAATAGTGCCCCATCATTGGTATCAGCGGGAGGAATAGTGCCCCATCATTGGTGTCAGTGGGAGGAATAGTGCCCCATCATTGGTGTCAGTGGGAGGAATAGTGCCCCATCATTGGTGTCAGTGGGAGGAATAGTGCCGCGTCATTGGTCAAGGAATAGTGCCGCGTCATTGGAAGGAATTGTTCCGCGTCATTGGAAGGAATTGTGCCGCATTGGAAGGAATTGTCATTGGAAGGAATTGTGCCGCGTCATTGACGTCATTGGAAGGAATTGTGCCCCATCACTGGTGTCATTGAGCCCCATCCCTGGTGTCATTGAGCCCCATCACTGGTGTCATTGAGCCCCATCACTGGTGTCATTGGTAGGAATTCTGGCCTTCATTGGTGCAAGTGAAGGAAATAGTGCCCCAGGGGCCAGATAAAAGCAAGAAAAGGGCTGCATTCGTAGTTAGAATAGGGGGGGGGATTTGATTGAACTTACACTTGAAGCACCAGCAGTGTAAATCCGTGAATTTGACTTATCAGCCTCTTGCAGTCCCCTATAAAGCAAAGCCCGGTCTGACAGATGGAGATGCAGCACAAACAGCCAATCGGTAACACGTACATTTATTGGTTCCAGAATTTCATTGATTTCTTCCCTTATTATCTGTCAGGAGTCCAAAGGTTACGAAGCGACTTTCTCCCCTCCACCCCGCCCCCACCTCTAGCCCCTGCTCACCCCCCTTTTGGGTCTCCTCACCTGTTCACCGGCCTCTCGATGTCCAGCAGCTTCAGGATGGATTTTCCATCCATATCAGGGGGGATGTCCAACCCGGCGATGTCCAAGATGGTCGGTGCCAGGTCGATGTTCAGCACGATGTGCGGATTGCTGCAGGAGGAAATACAAAGAACTAGATCTTTATAGCTGCATTTTACTAATAGGTCTGCCAATTCTCCTGAGGGGTGGGGGTGGGGGGGGGGGGGGTCATGTGATAGACAAGCAATGGAAAACTGCTGAGATAAAACTAGTAGGACTGGTCGTTTCCCATCAGCCTGAGTGGGATGACAAAAGGGGATCAGTAAAGTGCAAGCGCTACCATGCATTAAAAGTATAACGCTCCCCCCCCCCCCCCCCCAAACCCAACGTCCCCCCACACTTTCCCAGCTAGAAAGCGGGACAATGTGGCTGACCAGCACATAAGCCAATGGAGGTCACAAGGTGGGGGGTTGAGGTCCCCATTCAAACAAGCCCATTCTTTAGGGGACTACAAGCACTTACAGAGATCCGGCATCCACATTGGGCCCTCGGATATAGAAGGGCACCCGGATGTCGAATTCGTACGGCATGGATTTCCCTTTCACCAGTCCGAACTGTCCGATGTGATACCCGTGATCAGACGTGTAGATGATATACGTGTTCTCAATTTCCCCCATTTCCACCAGCATGTTGTAGATCTGCAAACACAGCAAAAAAAAAAAAAACAAAACACTAAGATTACATTTAGAGTGTAAGCTCCATGGACAAGGCCCTCCTATTCTTTCTGTATTGAACTGCACTGTCATTGTACCATCCTGCCCTTCGATTGTAAAGCGCTGCGCAGGCTGTTGGTGCTCAATATAAATCCTGAATTACAACAGAAACCCTGAACAAAAAATAATTATAAACATAATAATAGGTATAATAATCTTACACGGGCTCAGAGGGGAAGACATGGGAGGGGTATACAGGGTCACCCCACCAACAACTATGGCCACCTAATGATCAGGGACCTATTTTGGGTGGAGTGATCCTTTATGGATTGGCATATGGGCAATGTAAAGCCCACCCAATATTGTAACTTTTTCGCAACACATATATGCACAAGGTATCCAGTCACAAGGTGAGAGGCCGCAACATTGTAACTTTTAGTAGTCGGTCACAAGGTGAGAGGCCGCAACATTGTAACTTTGTAGTCGGTCACAAGGTGAGAGGCCGCAACATTGTAACTTTGTAGTCGGTCACAAGGTGAGAGGTCACCGCAACATTGTAACTTTGTAGTGTCACAAGGTCGGTCACAATTGGTGTCACAAGGTGAGGCCGCAACATTGTAACTTTGTAGTCGGTCACAAGGTGAGAGGCCGCTTTGTAACATTGCAATATTGTAACTTTGTAGTCGGTCACAAGGTGAGAGGCCGCAACATTGTAACTTTGTAACAAGGTTTGTAAGTCGGTCACAAGGTGAGAGGCCGCAACATTGCAACTTTGTAGTCGGTCACAAAGGTGAGAGGCCGCAACATTGTAACACAAGGTGAGAGGCTGGTCTTGTAAGACATTTGTGAACACAGTTAATAACTGCAGACACGAGGATTTACATGGTAGTGTCTTCTCTGAGCCGTCATGTCAGTCCCAGAAGTAGGTGGTGACTGTGGATGATACCTGAACAGCAATGGTGCCGTCCTTTTGGAGATAAAAGCAGATGAAGGGATTGTCAGGGGGAGTCATGTGATCTCTGTGAGGTTATGAACGCACGTTGAATGAGTTACCATTACTATGGATGAAGATCTGTATCTGATGACAGGTTCACTTTAAGTCGGTATGTTTTATGGGCTGCACCACTATTTGGCTTTGGCGGCAGACTTGGGACATCAATGGGACACGAGGTACGAGATTTCTCCATTCCTACAATGAGATCTCCTGTCCACGGGTCCCTGCACCCCCAGCCACGCGTGGTCTGGAGAATGGAATCATCTCCGAGGATCCAAAGTCCATCAACATTCTGGTGCGTTCCGCCGCGGGAAGGAGACACGATTGGCTGCACTTTTATTAACTCAGTAAATAAAAACAATAAATTGTCTCCTGCGCAGATTCATAAAACATTAGTGAGACGGAAAGGCCGCGTCCGCCGCGTGCGTCCGCTCAGCATTATAACAAAACACGTTTAACGCTCCCGGCTTTGGGGAGAAACATAAACCAAAATCATAAAGACGGAGGAGAACTCATAAAATATGAATGGGTCGGTGGCGAGGAACGACGGCGAGCAAAATCGATTCGCGGACTGCGCAGGTATGTACAGAATCCTCTAGAAGGAGCTTAAGTGACGGGTCACAGCCCCTGTCAGACCTTTGTGGCTGCATTTATCTGGGCTTGTGGGATATGTAAACGTTCGGTGTACATTCACACAAAGCCGAATGTTATTAGACTCTTTTCTTTCCAGGGTGAATTAAATTCATAAATAAAAAATAAAAAAATAAAATAAAAAAAGTTTGGGGGGGAGTACCACATTATGGCCACAAGATGGAGCTGCTACCATAGTGAACAAGTACTTCTTATGACCACTAACTCCACCTAGTGGCCATAATGTGGTATTTTCCCAATTCACTCTATTCTGTACCAATGAACAATTAGCTGAAAAAGTAGCACCAGTCACCATTACTGGGCCCTCTGTGGCCCCTCCTAATTCTGCTCCTGGCTGGATTACATTAAACCTACGGCAGGTAGAATACACCTAAACTCCAGCTCTGTCTCAGCGGGGGGGATAGGGGGTGTCAGACCTCTGCAGAGAGACTACTGCTTCCACACAGAGCAATGGTCCCCCTCTGCTGCATGCGGGCAGAGGACAGACTCTTCAATGGTACCTCTGCACATCTGTAGTTGGCTACAACTGGAATGTATTTACATTTTATCCCCTTCCCCCACCCCCTTTCATTCCTGGACCTACCTGCTCCATCGAGTCCTCCACGGACATGAGGGTCTGCAGCCGCCTCCTCTGCAGCAAGTTGGTGAACTGCATGTGGATGGGCATCATGGGGCCCGTGTACCTCATGATCCAGTGCTTGTCGGGGGGTTCGGGGCGTAGTTGTAGCTCGGCGTTCTGCAAGACAAAGACCGGCACAGCCAATGGTCAGCCGTTTCCACCAGGAAGGGAGCACTTGAAGCTGAACCCAACAGGTATAAAACACAATGAATGCAGCTCTACAGTATCAATATGTCACTAAATGTGTGTTTATAGATACAAGCAGCAAGTCTTTGCAGTACAGCAGAGCTCAGACTGGAAGAAACCTCACAAGGAGCCAATCAGCTGTTCTGCAAAGCTCATGTACTAACAAGGGGTGTGCTGATAGGAGGAGAGAGAGCAGAGTGACAGAGCTGAACTCATCAATCTGCTGCTTCATTTCACTGTCCAATCACAGGCTGGGAAGGGGACAAGACCTGTGCGGCCCCAGGCCCGTGGCAGAGCTGTGTATGGACAGACATACCAATCCTCTGGTTGGTCAGAATACACGTATTCATCTGTGTATTAGGCCGTCTGCCCACAATTCAGCTTATTACAGAGGGAGCCCATGCAACATGTGCTGGGGCCAATGTGACCTTGGAAGGGCCCCCCCTCCCCATCATCTACAACGCGTTTCACACGTTCAGCGCGGTGACATTTTAAATCAGCAATAAACATTTTGTTGTCGATGAAAACGATGTCAAAGACCTCTTCCAGCTCCATCAGAGTCCGTCCTGGTGGCGTGACGCGTTCCTACGGCGGGACATTTCCCGCAGGCGACCTCAAACACGCGAAGCGAGCGATTTCAATGAGCGCACCTCTCCGGGAAATCATTTCACATTTACAACATCAGTTCTGCCCCAGGCAAAGGCAGCACCATCAGAAGACATGACTCCGGGACGGTGATACCGTGTCACCGCGCTCTCCTCCCTGACACAACCCAGAACTTTCCCAACTTCAAACCCGACTACAGGAGGAAACAAAAACCCGGCTAGAGGAGGAAACAAAAACCCGGCTAGAGGAGGAAACAAAAACCCCGGCTAGAGGAGGAAACAAAAAACCCGGCTAGAGGAGGAAACAAAAACCCGGCTAGAGGAGGAAACAAAAACCCGGAGAATTACCTTCGGATTACAATGAAAGCAGACGCACTGCGGCTATGGAAAAGGCTGGCCAGGAAATACTGCAGCTATGTTAAAGTCACAGGGCACCAGATGAGGCTCCTGGTCTGTCAGAGATCAGCATACGTGTCAAGTATTTCAAGATTTGTGATCAGATGAGGGGCAAATCGATCGATAATTGAGTAATCATCAAATAATGCACCACGTTTTGTGAAAAGATCACTCAAACATGCATTCTATCGCTTCACATCATTTATTTACTATGAATTATGATTGGTTCTCTGGCGCAGGCCAAAAATCAGAGATAGCCCCCCTTACGTCCCATGATGTCACTGTACCATTCAGAATCCTCCTGACATCTGCATTCTCAGCAAACCCCCCCCCCCCCCCCTCCCATCAGGTTCCCCAAGAGGGTCCCCCCTACATTAGTGTCCTCCCTTTACATGACCATCCCTATTAGAGTCCTCCCTTAGATAAGGTTCCCCCTCTGAGCTCCCCCTTACATCTGTGGCCCCATCATAGTACCCCTTTACATCCGTGGTCCCATCAGAATCCCCTCTTACATCCGTGTCCCCATCAGAGTTCCCCTTACATCAGTGGCACCGTCAGCGTTCCCCCTTACATCCATGGCCCCATCAGCGTTCCCCTTTACATCCATGACCCCTTCAGAGTTCCCCCTCACATCCATGACCCCATCAGAGTTCCCCCTCACATCCGTGACCCCATCAGAGTTCCCCTTTACATCCGTGACCCCAGAGTTCCCCCTCACATCTGAATCCCCATCAGAGTTGCCCTTCACATCTGTGTCCCCATCAGAGTTCCCCCTTACATCCGTGTCCCCATCAGAGTTCCCCCTTACATCCGTGTCCCCATCAGAGTTCCCCCTTACATCCGTGTCCCCATCAGAGTTCCCCCTTACATCCGTGTCCCCATCAGAGTTCCCTATTACATCCGTGTCCCAATCAGAGTTCCCCTTTACATCTGTGTCCCCAGAGTTCCCCCTTACATCCGTGTCCCCATCAGAGTTCCCCTTTACATCCGTGTCCTCAGAGTTCTCCCTTACATTAGCGTCCCCATCAAAGCCCTCCCTTGGTGGCTGCTTTAGACAAATTGCTGACAAGTATATATGCGCCATTCCTAATAAACCCCCTGAAGAAGCGAGCTGTAATTTACGAAACGCGTAGAGCAGCAATCACTGTCTCCATCCAGGAAAGTCTGGAACCACACAAACGTTACAATGAAATCCTGGACACCTGAGACATCCAGTATGGATGGGATGGACAGATACGGAGGATGTGACGAAAGATTCCATCAATCGGCTACAATGGAATCAGACTCCTTGTTTTGGGATTATTTATTATGAAATAAGACAGAAATTTTATAACACAAATTCTCAATGTATCCATCCTCTCGGTTCACACCGCCGCGACTTGGGATCCGACTTGTGAGACCCCCCCAAGTCACATGACGTGTGACATCCCATGTTAGTCAATGAGAGCCGTCTTAATGAGCACGACTGAAATCGCCCCGACTTTAGAAAAGGTTCCTGAGCTACTTCAAGGCGACTTCTCTCCGACTTGTGCCCATAGACTTTAATGGAAGTCGCCGCCGAGTCAGATCCTCATCAATATTGATGTGATTCGGATCCGACATTACAGGAAGCAGGGGCGTCCCTAGGGTTGGGGTGACCCGATGCGGTAACACTTGGTGACACGCCCTCAGAGTGGATCGGATGTGCGGATTGAGCATAATGGATGGGACTCCGATTCATTATGCTCAATCCTCAGATCCGAACCATCCTGCGGGGATAGTTGGCTTTCTTTACAATTTACCTTTTAGTGGAGCGGGTCCGGTGGCCCCCCATATAGGTTGCATGCCGCCGGTCCCCGCAGGATGGTTCGGATCTGAGGATTGAGCATAATGGATCAGAGTCCAATCCATTATGCTCCCCAATCTGAAGATCCCATCCATCCTGCGGGGATCGTTGGCTTGCTTTACAACTTACCTTTTTGTGGAGTGGGTCCGGTGCAGGGGTGGACTGACAACTTATGGGGCCCCCGGGCAATATGGGATCATGGGGCCCCTTTGTCCTTGCCCAAACTCAAAAAAAGACTATGAAAAAGGTACCAGGGGCATCTCATGGGGCCCCCTACTGACCCCGGGCCCTCGGGCAGTGCCCGAGTTTCCAAATGGTCAGTCTGCCCCGGTCCGGTGTCACCCCATGCGGTCGGTGTCGTCGCCCGATGTGGGCCGCACCCCCTGCACCTGCCTCGGGACGCCCCTGACAGGAAGATCAGCCGAGCATTCCCTGAAAGTCGCATCAAAGTAGTACTCAAGTTGCCTGGCACTGCAAGTTGCGCGTCTCTCAGGTCGCAGTAGTGTGAACAGAGACAATGTCCCAACTTTACCGTTTTTCAAATGCAACACCTTCTATGACCATTCCTGTCATGTAACTTCCCTTTTACCACATTTGGGGGGGGAATTGATCAAAACTGGAGCAGCTGAGCTTGGCAACCAATCAGCTTCCATTTTCAGTCTATTCAGTTAAGCTTTTAAAATGAAAGATAGATGGTGATTGGTTGCACAACTGCTCCAGATTCCGCCTGCTCCGGTGAAGCTGTAACTGAGACATTAGTGGAAAGATACGCCGGCACCCCAAATCTTCTGAGTGATGTCACCGTATATCAAAGCCAACGCGCGCGACGCCGATCATTAGCGCTTATTGGGATGAGACGCTTCCTGCAGGAGACGGGGAATTGTCCAACGTAAAATGTATTCCTGTCTCATACAGGAGGCGGCCAGCTTGGCACGGCACACTTCCAGGACCGTCAGGCGTTCGCTCCGCAGATTCTCCCCCAACCATCCATGTCAGAGGCGCTCAGCAATACGAGACGATGTTGTTCTACGCGGATACATTTCAATAACGCCGTCTCATAAAGTGTCCCGACACAGTCCGCCAACTGCCTGATGTGTATCAAATGTGGGAACGCGATACACTCGCTGTGCGGTGAACGACGCGCCCAAGTGGACCTGTCTCTGGGAATTAGCTTTCCCTCCGTCTTACGGCCTATAGAACATCAATGGAGGGATCTCCGGGACTACATTCCCCCCTTTATTAGGTGGTGGAGGTTTTCTACAGGTGAAGACCTTTAACCTCTTCGAGATTTAGAAAGTTAGAGACGCCCCAAAAAAAAAAAAAAAAAAAGGCAAGATTTTAGGGAAGCGTCTCCAACATCCAGCTCCTCCCCCCGTGCCGCTATGACCGGCTGTCAAAATGACAGCCACTCCTGCCTGGAAGGTTCCCCAACGTAACCAGAAATTGTTCCATTGTACTGACTGTTCTATCTTTGATCTGCATAGGACATTACTTGCGCCATTGTTCACACTTTGTGCGTGTTGAGAAACGCCGCCCTTTAGGCACCCTGGGGTGCCGTTGTGTCCTAACGGCATCCCCGGCACCTGCCAACACACGTGCCAAAACACATTGGTGGCGCAGCATCATGCGGTTCGGTGCGGAGTGATTCCGCAGAAGGGTCAGGGACTATTTGCGCATTTCTCACACATAGGGCGACCCACTAAAATGAACAGACTGCCCTACATGCAACGCATGAGAATGCACTGCTGCACCCGCATGGTGGGACAATGGAGCCTTAAAGGCCTCACGCACACAGATCACAAGAGGCTGAAAATAGAGCCAGTGTATAATTCCGGGGGTTTTCCCACGCCTGGCTACCTGCTGCATACAGCCTGCCATACAAGTGAATGACTATGTGGCTGTCCATCAGTGTTTACCCACACATGCGTGTACAATACGTAGCGCACACGGAACGCCCATCGCACACGGCCGCTTGCAGCCATTCATCTGTATGGTAGGCTGTATGTGGCACCAGTGGCTCCTCAGGCATGGGAAAACTCCCGGGATTTTACTTTCAGTACATTGCCCCGCCTCTCCCCATGTGACACCTTCCAGTTTATAAAAAAAAACACAAAACCCATGATGAACCCGGAGCTATCAATAGAGAGGGGGGGAGGGTGGGGGGCGAGAGGAAGAGGGGGGGAGGGGGGGGGGAGAGGAGGGGTGGGGACGGGGGGGGGGACGGGGGAGGGGAAGGGAGGAGTAGGGGGGGAGGGAGGGGGGGGGAGGGGGGGGAGAGAGAGGGGGAAGGGGGGGGGGGAGGGGGGGGGAGGGAGGGGGGGAGGGGGGGAGAGAGGGGGGAGAGGAGAGGGGGGGAGAAAGGGAGGGAGGAGGGGGAGGGAAAGGAGAGGGGGAGGTAGAGAGGGGGGGAGAGAGAGTGGAGGAGGAGAAGGGGGGAGAGAGGAGGGGGGGAGAGGGGGGAGAGAGGGGGGAGGAGGGGGGGGGAGGGAGGGGGAGAGGGGGCGGGGGAAGGGAGGAGGGAAGAGAAGAGGGAGGGAGGGGGAGGAGAGGGGGAGTGAGGGAGAGGGAGGGGGGAGGGGGGAGGGAGAGGAGAGGGGAGGGGGAGGGAGGGAGAGGGAGGGGGAGGGAGAGGGAGGGGGGGGAGGGCGGAAGAGGTGAGAGAAGGAGGGGGGGAGGGGTGAGGGAGAGGGAGGGGGAGGGAGGGGGAGGGGGGGAGGAGGAGGGGGAGGGGGAGGGGGGAGAGAGGGGGAGGGGGGAGGGAGGGGGGGGTGAGGGGGGGAGAGAGGGGGGGGACGGGGGAGGGAGGGGGGAGGAGGGAGGGAGGAGGGAGAGGAGAGGGGAGGGAGAGGAGGGGGGAGGGAGAGAGAGGAGGGGGGGAGGGAGAGAGGGGGGAGGGAGGGAGGAGAGGGAGGGGGGGGGAGGGAGAGAGAGGAGGGGGGGAAGGGAGAGAGAGGAGGGGGGGAGGGAGGAGAGGAGGGGGGGGGGAGGGGGGGAAAGAGGGGGGGGGGAGGGGGGGGAGGGGGGGGGGGGAGAGGGGGGAGGGGAGAGAGGAGGGAGGGAGGAGAGGGAGGGGGGGGGGGAAGAGAGGAGGGGGGGGAGAGAGGGGGGGGAGAGAGAGAGGAGGGAGGGGGGAGAGAGGGGGGGAGGAGAGAGAGGAGGGGGGGGGAGAGAGGAGGGGGGGAGGGAGGGGGGGGGAGAGAGGGGGGGGAGAGAGAGGAGGAGGGGGGGGGAGGGAGAGGAGGGGGGGGGGAAGGGCGAGCGATAGGAGATTACACTAACACTGAGGACATTAGAGAGTCCAGCTTCTATGTATGTCACTGAGCAGCCAGACATTCCCACCAATGTTCAGTTTCCTCCAATGGCACAGATTTGGGCACAAGAGACATTCTCAGTGGGGTCACCATGTTGGCTCAGATGGCCGGTAGCCAAGCGATGGGCTGCAAAGCATCAAAGAAGCCCCCAACATTGAGGCTATTAGAAAGTTCCTATTGGATGAATGTCAATGAGCAGTCAAGCACTCCCAGCAGTGTGCAGGGCTTCCTCCAGGACACCAGAATTGGGGCGATCACCCCATTATTGCAGGTCACAGGGGGAACCTCCAGTGGGTTTGATTGCACCAAGAAATTAAAGAAAAAAACAAAGTTTTTTTTTACGCACACATATTAGCATATATTTAGTGCTGCCCCCACAGAAGGAACAGAAATCCGTCTGTAACGTCGGAGTTCTACGAGTCACCAGAACTTTGTACACAGCCAGGCCCACAGCCAGGTCCACATCGGTCCCAGCCAGGTCCATGTCGGTCCCAGTCAGGTCCACATCGGTCCCAGCCAGGTCCACATTGGTCCCAGCCAGTTCCACAGCCAGGTCCACGTTGGTCCCAGCCAGTTCCACAGCCAGCTCACATCAGGTCCCAGTCAGGTCCACAGCCAGGTCCACGTTGGTCCAGCCAGCTCCACATCAGTCCCACGTTGGTCCCAGCCAGCTCCACATCAGTCCCACTCAGGTCCACCAGCCAGCTCCACAGCCAGGGTCCACATCGGTCCCACTCAGCTCCACAGCCAGGTCCACATCGGTCCCACTCAGGTCCACAGCCAGGTCCACGTTGGTCCCACTCAGGTCCACAGCCAGGTCCACGTTGGTCCCAGCCAGCTCTACAGCCAGGTCCACATCGGTCCCAGCCAGGCTAACAAAAACAACAGAAAACTAAAAAGGTACTGAAGCCAAACCAGGAAGGCGGTTAGACGACTGCTGCGACGATTTCAAGTTTACTGGGCGCGTTAAATGAAATGCGTAGTTAAAGCAACCGCACCTAACGCATTAACGGCACCTGAAGTGCGACGACAACCCATAAAAACCTACAAGAACCATAAAATATAATCACCGGCACAGCGGGGAGGTAAGTAGGAGACATTTCCGCAGTGCCGCCACTTGCCGTGTAAATAATGCGTTCTGCGCGGCCCATAAATGCGTTACATCCAGTTATCGGCAGCCGGATAATTGCGAGACGCTCATTACCTGAGCCGCTATTTTATGCTGCGATTATCGCAATTTCAGCAAAAAAATAAATCACATTCTCAGCCCGCTTTTATGGACGGAAATTGATGTGATTTTGCGCCGATTGTCGTCTGAATGATGAGAGAAATAAAAGGCGGAAATATAATCTGCGGAGTGAACGGCAAAACATTTCTTACAGGAATAACCGAATCAGCGATCGCCTACTTAGGAAGGACGCCACGAGCGCCACGAGGAGCACGCCCCCCGCGCCATTACACTCAGCGCCTCGTACCGTTCAAAGCCGCAAGTAGATCTGTGTGTGAAGGGGACTGCGGAGTTCTCCAGCACGCGGGACGTATTCACAGCGGATGTTTGTGGCTTTTGGGGTTTGTTTCTGCAGCCAGTAACCCCCCAGCATGTTCTCCTCGGTGTCCATACACACACAGACCGCAATCACCGTGTTCTGGCTGGAAAACAAACCTGGGACTAGCGGGCTTCTAGAGGAGATTTGTTAGCTGTAAGAACCCTCCATCTGTGGCAAGACAGCATTTTTCGACCTTCTTTGAGCAAAAAAAATTGTGTTTTGGTTAAAAAAAGATTAAAAAATGCAAACACAAACAAAACACTAAAAAAGCTGAAAAACATACGTAACGTGACTTTACACAGATACCGCTACGGCAGCTCCACCCCTCTCTGCCGAGTCCCTCCACTGGCCTCCACCAGTGTCCTCCATCCTCTCTGCCGATCCCTCCACTGGCCTCCACTCAGTGTCCTCCATCCCTCTCTGCCGATCCCTCCACTGGCCTCCACTCAGTGTCCTCCATCCCTCTCTGCCGATCCCTCCACTGGCCTCCACTCAGTGTCCTCCATCCCTCTCTGCCGATCCCTCCACTGGCCTCCACTCAGTGTCCTCCCTCCACCCCTCTCTGCCGATCCCTCCACTGGCCTCCACTCAGTGTCCTCCACCCTCTCTGCCGATCCCTCCACTGGCCTCCACTCAGTGTCCTCCACCCCTCTCTGCCAATCCCTCCACTGGCCTCCACTCAGTGTCCTCCATCCCTCTCTGCCGATCCCTCCACATCCCTCTCTGCCGATCCTCCATGGCCTCACTCAGTGTCCTCCATCCCTCTCTGCCGATCCCTCCACTGGCCTCCATTCAGTGTCCTCCACCCCTCTCTGCCAATCCCTCCACTGGCCTCCATTCAGTGTCCCTACCCATCTCCCTCTCCTGGCCTCCAGTCCCTCCACTGGATCCCTCCACTGCCTCCATTCAGTGTCCTCCATCCCTCTCTGCCGATCCCTCCACTGGCCTCCATTCAGTGTCCTCCACCCTCTCTGCCAATCCCTCCACTGGCCTCCATTCAGTGTCCTCTACCCCTCTCTGCCGATCCCTCCACTGGCCTCCATTCAGTGTCCTCCACCATCTCCAATCCCTCCACTGGCCTCCATTCAGTGCCCTCCACCCCTCTCTGCCAATCCCTCCACTGGCCTCCATTCAGTGTCCTCCACCCCTCTCTGCCAATCCCTCCACTGGCCTCCATTCAGTGTCCTCACCCCTCTCTGCCGATCCCTCCACTGGCCTCCAGTGTCCTCCACCCATCTCTGCCAATCCCTCCACTGGCCTCCATTCAGTGTCCTCCACCATCTCTGCCAATCCCTCCACTGGCCTCCATTCAGTGTCCTCCACCCATCTCTGCCAATCCCTCCACTGGCCTCCATTCAGTGTCCTCCCCCATCTCTGCCAATCCCTCCACTGGCCTTCCATCCCTCTGCCAGTCCCTCCACTGGCCTCCATCCCAATGTGTGTGTGTAAAATATATATTACACACACGGCTGGTGGCACAAAACTATGGTGGGACCTATTCCAGTGCAAGAAATCCTAAAGCTTTGTTTATAAACAAAGTCATGTAACTGCCATACTGGCACCGTCACAGCCAACATGTGACCCATCGCACCGCCTCATCCTGCAGAATGAAATTCATCAATAATATCCGGCTCATCCTATTTACTAACAGAACCCCCAACTCATCCACCTAACAGTGAGATGTCAGATGTGGGCGGAGTGTGCTGCAACCGCTGCCATTGGCTCAGACAGGCGCACTGTGACAGGCGGGACTTACATGTGCTGGGAGGCGTTGGAGAACATCTGGGAATACTGGGGGGCGGCGTCCTCGGGGCCGTGGGGGGCGGCGTGGCTCAGCACCATGAGGACAGGCCGGTGAGGATACATCTTCTTGGAGGTGCGGAAGAAGTTCACGCTGTTGTTGGTGATGAGATCCGTCAGGTAATCCTGCGGGGAAAACAACGGCAGATCTTAGTTGTGGAGCCTCTGACTGCTTCCTGAACTCTGCTGACAGTTACCTCCCATCGCACTGGGCTCAGAGGAACCAGCCAGGCTGCATCTACTACTAGTCACCTCCCCATCGCACCGGGCTCAGAGGAACCAGCCAGGCTGCATCTACTACTAGTCACCTCCCCATCGCACCGGGCTCAGAGGAACCAGCCAGGCTGCATCTACTACAGTCACCTCCCATCGCACCGGGCTCAGAGGAACCAGCCAGGCTGCATCTACTACAGTCACCTCCCCATCGCACCGGGCTCAGAGGAACCAGCCAGGCTGCATCTACTACAGTCACCTCCCCATCGCACCGGGCTCAGAGGAACCAGCCAGGCTGCATCTACTACAGTCACCTCCCCATCGCACCGGGCTCAGAGGAACCAGCCAGGCTGCATCTACTACTACAGTCATCCTCCCCATCGCACCGGGCTCAGAGGAACCAGCCAGGCTGCATCTACTAGTCACCTCCCCATCGCACCGGGCTCAGAGGAACCAGCCAGGCTGCATCTACTACAGTCACCTCCCATCTCACCGGGCTCAGAGGAACCAGCCAGGCTGCATCTACTAGTCACCTCCCCATCGCACCGGGCTCAGAGGAACCAGCCAGGCTGCATCTACTACTAGTCACCTCCCCATCGCACCGGGCTCAGAGGAACCAGCCAGGCTGCATCTACTACAGTCACCTCCCCATCGCACCGGGCTCAGAGGAACCAGCCAGGCTGCATCTACTACAGTCACCTCCCCATCGCACCGGGCTCAGAGGAACCAGCCAGGCTGCATCTACTACTACAGTCACCTCCCCATCGCACCGGGCTCAGAGGAACCAGCCAGGCTGCATCTACTACAGTCACCTCCCCATCGCACCGGGCTCAGAGGAACCAGCCAGGCTGCATCTACTACAGTCACCTCCCCATCGCGCCGGGCTCAGAGGAACCAGCCAGGCTGCATCTACTACTACAGTCACCTCCCCATCGCACCGGGCTCAGAGGAACCAGCCAGGCTGCATCTACTACTACAGTCACCTCCCCATCGCACCGGGCTCAGAGGAACCAGCCAGGCTGCTTACTACTACAGTCACCTCCCCATCGCACCGGGCTCAGAGGAACCAGCCAGGCTGCATCTACAAGTCACCTCCCCATCGCACCGGGCTCAGAGGAACCAGCCAGGCTGCATCTACAAGTCACCTCCCATCGCACCGGGCTCAGAGGAACCAGCCAGGCTGCATCTACTAAGTCACCTCCCCATCGCACCGGGCTCAGAGGAACCAGTCAGGCTGCATCTACTACAGTCACCTCCCCATCGCACCGGGCTCAGAGGAACCAGCCAGGCTGCATCTACAAGTCACCTCCCCATCGCACCGGGCTCAGAGGAACCAGCCAGGCTGCATCTACAAGTCACCTCCCCATCGCACCGGGCTCAGAGGAACCAGCCAGGCTGCATCTACTACTAGTCACCTCCCCATCGCACCGGGCTCAGAGGAACCAGCCAGGCTGCATCTACTACTAGTCAACTCCCATCGCACCGGGCTCAGAGGAACCAGCCAGGCTGCATCTACTACAGTCAGAGCGCATCCAACATCAGATATATGATTCATTGTATCAGCATAACATGTTCAGTCATAGAAATCCTGGTGCCTGTGCTGTGTCCACAATGTCCCACACAGATCAGACCCCACTGCAGCTTCCTTCTACATGCCTCCTCCTACTGGGGGAGGGGGGGGGGACTTAGGAAATGCCTCCTCCTCCTTCTACAAAGGGGTCTGATCACTGAGGGGGGGGACTTAGGAAATGCCTCCTCCTCCTTCTACAAAGTTACAATGTACGGGTCTGATCACTGAGGGAGGGGGGACTGAGGAAATGCCTCCTCCTCCTCCTACAAAGTTACAATGTACAGTCCGATCTCTTGGGGAGGGGAGACTAAGGAATGGCTTCCTCCTTCTACAAAGTTACAATGTACAGTCTGATCACTGGGGGAGGGGAGACTGAAGAAATGCCCGAGGGCACGGGGTCAGTACGGGGCCCCATTACATGCCCCTGGTACCCTTTATCATAGGTTTTTTTGAGTTTGGGCAAGGACACAGGGGCCCCCCATGATCCCCTATTGCCCGGGGGCCCCATGAGTTGTCAGTCCGCCCCGGTTTTCGGGGGTCATCAGTCACAGCAGGTCCACGTAAGGTAAATGTGGTGTAATTGAACATTTGGTGAACATTTCCTAGTGAGAATCCGCCGCCCGCGCTCTTTACTTCCCCTTCAAGGCGACATTAAATCCGCAGCACAGAACGCCGTTTCGCGCTCAATGGATGAAGCTTAGCGGGGGAGGGGGGGGGGTGTAACATTTTCCCGGCTCTTCCGGAGGGGGCGATCGTTCACACGCTGAGCAATAGCCGGGACCTTTCAGACGAAGGCGCAGTCAGCTAATCAATAGCATTTCATTATTTTATCTCCCCCCGACATGAGTGTGAGGGGAGCAGACAGGAGATTGCAGCGATCAGACACAGAACTCCGCCGCTCGCCCTCCCCGAAGGATCCGAATATCTGGAAATGATCCGAGACGGGCCGCGTTGCCGCGCACAAATACAAAGGAGAGGAGCTCCATTCAGAATCCGACACGGAAAAACACGGGGCGATCGATGGCGACTTCTGCTCAGAGCAGGAGAGTAATTAGGAGAGTGTGTTTAGACGCACCGGGGGACAGCGACGCTCCGAACACAACGCAGGACACTTCAAGAGCCAGGCACGTTATTGGGAAGTATATCCCCCCCCCCCCCAAAAAAAAAAAAAAAAAGGATGTTCAGAAGTTCTCATTATTAACCCCTTTACAACCACCTAATATGTCGCACACATGCAGCTCAATGCACGCTCCCAGCACAGAGAGACCGAGCTGTGAAAGACCGCCATTGGCTCCCCGATTGTGACGTGATTGGCTCTCCGGTGGTCATGTAATCGGCCGATATTCCCCTCCCCCCCAGAATTCAGAACTTTGTAAAGGGACCCTGGGGTGGGAGGCGGGGATTAAGGACACCCCCACAGCCCAGAATCTGACGGGAAAACAAAGCGATTTGACAGTTTCAATGCAAGTGGCACCCTATTGTCAGCAATGGAACCATTAAAATGACACAGACTTTTACACCCCGTTACACCGGGTGCGACTTACCATGCCACGGGAACTGCAAATCGCATGGCAAGTCGCACCCTATTGTTCGCAATGAAAGCGGTCATATGAGTGCGATTCAGACGTGGTCGGAGCCGCACCGATTTCTAACGTAGAGCATGCGCTGCTTCAGGTGCGATGTACATAGATATCTGGGCAGATGTCTTCCAAGTCGCACATCAAGTCGCAGTGACATCCGACTTTGAAATCATGCAACTTCAATGGAAGTCACGATTTCAAAGTTTGATTGGAATGACTAGGCTGGTAAAGTAGCTCCTGCACTCTCTTTTGTGATTTCAGGTACGACTCGCACAGATTCGGGGCATGGAGCCGCACAGATCCGGGGCATGGAGCCGCACAGATCCGGGGCATGGAGCCGCACAGATCCGGGGCATGGAGCCGCACAGATCCGGGGCATGGAGCCGCACAGATCCGGGGCATGGAGCCGCACAGATCCGGGGCAATGGAGCCGCACAGATCCGGGGCATGGAGCCGCACAGATCCGGGGCATGGAGCCGCACAGATCCGGGGCATGGAGCCGCACAGATCCGGGGCATGGAGCCGCACAGATCCGGGGCATGGAGCCGCACAGATCCGGGGCATGGAGCCGCACAGATCCGGGGCATGGAGCCGCACAGATCCGGGGCATGGAGCCGCACAGATCCGGGGCATGGAGCCGCACAGATCCGGGGCATGGAGCCGCACAGATCCGGGGCATGAAGCCGCAACAGATTTGGGGCATGAAGCCGCACAGATCCGGGGCATGGAGCCGCACAGATATGGGGCATGGAGCTGCACAGATCCGGGGCATGAAGCCGCACAGATCCGGGGGGCATGGAGCCGCACAGATGTCTGCCAAGTCACACTGACATGCGACTTTGAAAACTGTGCAACTACAAGTGAAGCCGTGCAATTTCAAAGTCAGATTCAGTATGAACCCGGGCTAAAGGTAAACTCACACCTTGACGTTTTTGTTTGCCAAAATCAATCGAAATGCATCTCAAACGCTTTCCGACGTAGGTCACTGTGCGAGATGGGACACGTAAAACGCACATCGATGCAAGTTCTGGTAGCAAGCTGCTATTGAGTAAAAAGTGCATTGGAAATGCGCAGCAATGCGTTTTGACATGCGTTTTTTTTAGTTCCATTGACTTCAATGGAAATGGCATAAGAATGAAAGATGCACAGGAGTGAATCCAACCAAAAACGCATTCCTGGTGGCTTATTACTCAATCACAGGTAGGGGGGCGGGCACTAGACCAAGTGTACTGCCTATCCGTCATGTGCTAAGCAGGGGTCAGGGGGCCGGGCGGTGCGGTCTGGATCGCAAAACCAGCTGAACAACCAACAGGGGAATAGAAAACAATGATTGTGTTGCCATTAATACAAATGTAACAGATAATATATACAATGTAACAGATAAATATATACAATGTAACAGATAATATATACAATGTAACAGATAATATATACAATGTAACAGATAATATATACAATGTAACAGATAATATATACAATGTAACAGATAATATATACAATGTAACAGATAATATATACAATGTAACAGATAATATATACAATGTAAAGCATTTTCTCAAACACAAAGTCTGGAAAGGTTCCTGTCATCGGTCACGTCGCGTCCTACGCCCATAAAGGACTGACCCGGACTGCAAAGCGCAGTAACGTCACACCGGATGTCACGGTGTCACGGTTTCCGTGGGGCGGTCCCACCCAGACACGAATTGGCTCACCTTGTCGTAGTCTGACCCGTGCTTTCTCCTTGACTCCGTTACGGCACAGCGTGTAGTTGTAAAAAACGAGAGTTCTTCACCAGGCCGACCCACTCCTTCCAGCCCGGGGGAACGTACGAGCCGTTGTACTCATTCAGGTACTTGCCAAAGAAAGCTGGAAGACAGGAGAGGGAAAACATGAGCTCAGGGGCGCCGCCAACAGGCGTGGATTGTCCTCTACTCTGTGTGTGGCCAGCCCAACTGCAGGGGACACCGGGAAAGGTACAGAGGGAAGCGGGGGAGGCCGAAAAAGGCACAGAGGGGAGCGGGGGAAGCCGGGGGAAAGGCACAGAGGGGAGCGGGGGAAAGGCACAGAGGGGAGCGGGGGAAAGGCACAGAGGGAGCGGGGGAAAGGCACAGAGGGGAGCGGGGGAAAGGCACAGAGGGGAGCGGGGGAAAGGCACAGAGGGGAGCGGGGGAAAGGCACAGAGGGGAGCGGGGGAAAGGTACAGACGGGAGTGGGGGAAAGGCACAGGGGGAGCGGGGGAAAGGCACAGGGGAGCGGGGAAGGCACAGGGGGAGCGGGGGAAGGCACAGGGAGGAGCGGGGGGAAGGCCAGGGAAAGGCACAGAGGAAGCGGGGAAGGCACAGAGGGAGCGGGGAAGGCACAGAGGGAGCGGGGGAAGGCCAGGGAAAGGCACAGAGGGAGCGGGGAAGGCACAGAGGGGAGCGGGGAAGGCACAGAGGGAGCGGGGAAGGCACAGGAGCGGGGAAGGCACAGAGGGAGTGGGGAAGGCCGGGGAAAGGTACAGGGGAAAGGTACATGTGATTCCTCAAAAGTCAAATTTCTTGTTCCCCATTTGCCCTTCTGATTTTTCTTCAGCCCACCAATGTTCGTTCAGTACATCATGTGACCCTCGTGCACTTTTCTGGGCATTCAGTTCCTTCTGATTGTGGACGGAGCCATGTAAGCTGTGTTTGTAGATAACAGGGAGCGCCAGCTCTGCCCGATGATGGGGAAGCATGGATGAAGAGCACCTTGGAGTGTGTGGAGGCAGTAAATGATCTGGATGTGAAGGGAGGACAGGCACGGTGCTCAGGTTACACTCCGGCCTCCAGGGATGTTATGAAGAACATGTATTCTATATAAACGTTATTAAATATGGATCGGCTGATTTTCACGGCTCCATCCGAGCAGATCCGGGCCCCGGGGACACACAAGTAATAGAAGAAGGTAATTACTGCTGGCCTTCCGCCTGGGATGGGAGGATGATGGAGTGCTGCGCAGCACCACACACGGTTATCAGGTATCAACTCCCGACATGTTGGGTAAGAGTTCAGGTGAACTCCACCTAAAACTAGATTTCAGGTTTTTGTAAGATATTCAAACGGAAGCAAGAATCCCCTGCAGTAGTCTGTCTCTGCCCCTCCCACAATGGGGAGATTTCCCGCAGTAGTCTGTCTCTGCCCCTCCCACAATGGGGAGATTTCCCTGCAGTAGTCTGTCTCTGCCCCTCCCACAATGGGGAGATTTCCCTGCAGTAGTCTGTCTCTGCCCTCCCACAATGGGGAGATTTCCCTGCAGTAGTCTGTCTCTGCCCTTCCCACAATGGGGAGATTTCCCTGCAGTAGTCTGTCTCTGCCCCTCCCACAATGGGGAGATTTCCCTGAAGTAGTCTCTGCCCCTCCCACAATGGGGAGATTTCCCTGAAGTAGTTGGTGTCTCTGCCCCTCCCACAATGGGGAGATTTCCCTGCAGTAGTTCGTGTCTCTGCCCCTCCCACAATGGGGAGATTTCCCTGCAGTAGTTGGTGTCTCTGCCCCTCCCACAATGGGGAGATTTCCCTGCAGTAGTTTGTGTCTCTGCCCCTCCCACAAAGGGGAGAGTACCTCCTAGTAGTTTGTGTCTCTGCCCCTCCCACAATGGGGAGATTTCTTCCTAGTAGTTTGTGTCTCTGCCCCTCCCACAATGGGAAGATTTCCCTGCAGTAGTTGGTGTCTCTGCCCCTCCCACAAAGGGGAGATTTCCCTGCTGTAGTGTCTCTGCCCCTCCCACAAAGGGGAGATTTCCCTTCTGTAGTGTCTCTGCCCCTCCCACAATGGGAAGATTTCCCTGCAGTAGTTGGTGTCTCTGCCCCTCCCACAATGGGGAGATTTCCCTGCTGTAGTGTCTCTGCCCCTCCCACAACGGGGAGATTTCCCTGCTGTAGTGTCTCTGCCCCTCCCACAATTATCTCCCTTTTTATATCAGATGTGGTGGGCAACAATTGCACCAATAAAAACAAATGTGGGTTGTAACCCCCCCACCCGGACATCCCCTTTAAGGTGGTGCAGGCACCGAAGTCCCGCCTTCTTCTATGGAGACTTTAGCCTCAACCAACCGCGATTGTCCAATTACATTGTAGCAAATCCAGCCAATCAGCGATAACAATGTAACAAAACCAGCAATTGTATCTGCAAAGTCTATGGGTTGATCCGTCGGGTTTTCTGGGCTCCCATGGCCTTCCAGGACGGGCTCTCTGGCCAATGATCACTCAGCGTGGAGCGTTCCTTCCTCTACAAACAAATGTGCTCATGGCAAGCCGGCTCTGGCAGGGAGATGGAGGGCTGAGGGCCAAGTACAATGTGGACCTTTTCCCTCCCAAATATGAGCTCACACCAGAGTGAGTGACAGTTCAACACCCCGCCACACCTCACCAGACTGCCCGCCAATGGGGGGCACTCTGACCACGTGCCAAGACCACACACCGCCCGATCGCACAGACGCCCACGGATTGATGTAGGGACCCTGCCACCAATTTATTTGGAGGGGAGCACAAAATTTTTTTTTAAAAGTTTACTAACTCCATGAACTATTGTATCGATTTATTCCCCCGCAATGGCAATGTTCCTCGAAGCTGCTAGAAAACTGGACTCCAGAAAGTGCAGCCCCCTCCCTCCATTCCTGCATGTCGTAGACCTCCCCCTCCCCCTCCACTCCTCAATAACATGCTAGTGATATTTTGAAAGAAATTGGTCTTCATTACACGCCTTATGTTAGATGTCACCACTAGGTCTCTGTGCTTCTCTATGCAATGCATGGGAGATCATGTCTGGTGGGAGGGATTGACAGGGTGCTCTACATAGCTTTCTGAAAACATAACCACTCCCTACCTCAGTACTCCTCTCAAGAGCCCTCAGTCCTGATGCAAGTGATGGGCGGGCTCTTGGGAGGAGCCGGTACACCTGTGCAAGACTGAAGGGGAGGAGCCGAAACGCCTGTGCAAGACTGAAGGGGAGGAGCCGGTACGCCTGTGCAAGACTGAAGGGGAGGAGCCGGAACGCCTGTGCAAGACTGAAGGGGAGGAGCCGGAACGCCTGTGCAAGACTGAAGGGGGGAGCCGGACGCCTGTGCAAGACGGGGGAAGGGGAGGGAGCCGGTACGCGGCCTGTGCAAGACGGAAGGGGAGGAGCCGGTACGCCTGTGCAAGACGGAAGGGGAGGGAGCCGGTACGCCTGTGCAAGACGGAAGGGGAGGAGCCGGTACGCCTGTGCAAGACGGAAGGGGAGGAGCCGGTACGCCTGTGCAAGACGGAAGGGGAGGAGCCGGTACGCCTGTGCAAGACGGAAGGGGAGGAGCCGGTACGCCTGTGCAAGACTGAAGGGGAGGAGCCGGTACGCCTGTGCAAGACGGAAGGGGAGGAGCCGGTACACCTGTGCAAGACTGAAGGGGAGGAGCAGGTACACCTGTGCAAGACTGAAGGGGAGCAGCCGGTAGGAGGATTTTAATATTTGCTTTGATAAGATGGAATAATAATAGGAGTGCCCCCCACACAGCACAGACATCACCCAATCACAAATGGGGGGCTGCCACCATACACAGCGCAGGCACCAACCAATCACAATTGCGGGGAACGCCGCCATACACAGCGCAGGCACCAACCAATCACAATGCGGGAACGCCGCCATACACCGCGCAGGCAGCCTGTTACATCTGTGATTGCCGATAACGACAGACGAGGCGCGGGGAGATAAATCAGCCGCAATTGTTGGAAGCTTATTAAAATAATTCCCATAAAAACACTTCCCGTCCCGAGCAGAACATAAAGACAATTAGAGATGCAAATTCCCTGCCATTTGCCTTCATTAAAGAGGAACAACAAATCTGTCCGCCATTTGTCAGCGGGCGGACTCCAGACTGCGAAGGGAGCCTCGGCTCTGCCCAGACTTCCTCCATGTAGGAGAATTATCACCGCTGACACCATGCGGGGGCGGGGGGGGGGGGGGGGGGGGGGGGGGGGGGGGTTCAGGGGCCTCTGGTGTGGCCGGATGATACAAAGTAGTGATCCTTGTATTCTTCCTTCTACACACGTCAACCAGGGGCCCCGCCAGGGGACAGTCCAATATAGACCCTGCCACTTGTCTCCAGTCTGGATGGATGAGGACTGGGAGGGCGGAGGGGGGGGGGGTAATATTACACAGACAGTTTACAGTAATTTGGATTTCACAGTTGAGTGTCATCGTCCAATCTCCATCCAGTATATAAATGGATACGTATATAATGGAAATGGATACAAAAACACATTCTTTAGGCCCCAGAACACTGAGAGGAAGTCACATGTACCCCCCCCCCCCCCCCCCCCCCCAATTTACTGCATGTTTTATTATCTTTAAATCCCAAATCAAAGTAGGGAGCTCCCCCCACCCACATGAAAGCCCCTGTCCCCCTAAACCCCTCCATTTTTTTTTTTTTTTCACCCAAAAGGTTAACTACTGCTTGTCTGCCTCCTCCCCACCCTTCTAAGTTTTGGTACTTTTAATTTTTTTTTTTGGGGGGGGGGGGGGAGCAGGTACCTGGCTTTGAAAGATAACCACTTCCGCCCAAATCGAATGGAGGTGGCTCCCCCCCTTTGCCTGCAGACTTCTGGGACATATCACAGGTCCCAGAAGGCTGCGGGAGTGGTCACAAAGCGCACCGCAGCTCGCACATGTGCAGTGGGAAGCCGGGTGTGAAGCTGCATGCAGACACAGCCGGCTTCTCAGGGTAAACATGCCAGAAACAGCGAACCTCAGAGCAGCGAAGAACCAGCCTTGGTAAGGACGGCGCTGCATCCCTGGATCATAAGTGCAGCATTCCTATGTGAGACCAGGCACCTCGAGGGGGCGGAGTCCATGACACCCTGGGCTCACAGGATGTCCATGACACCCTGGGCGTCATACAACCAGAAGAGACTGCTGGCACAGGATAGAGGAAGACCCAGTTTAAATGGGCTTTAAAGATGAGGGTTACCTGAGACTCCAATAGCTCACCCCGTCCCACCCCCCATTTGCGGTCCCTCACCTGTGCGGTATCCGGTGTTGTTGAGGTACACGGAGAAGGTGCGTGTTTTCGTGCTGGGCCTGCCATGACGGCGAGGAGCAGTTCTCGTTGTTGGTGTAGGTGTTGTGGTTGTGCACGTACTTCCCGGTCAGGATGGAGGAACGGGACGGGCAGCACATGGGCGTGGTGACGAAGGCGTTGACAAAGTGTGTCCCGCCTTGTTCCATGATCTTCCTGGTCTTGTTCATCACCTGCATGGAGCCTGCAACAGAAAAAAAAAAAGTCAATGTGTGAGGTCCAAACCCGCTCTGCACATCGCCAGCAGACATACTCATTCTGTGTCACTGATATCCAACCTTCAGACTGGAGGCTTCATGTGGCCCTTCTGGGGCCCCTATAGATCTTTACAGTGATTGTAAAGGGTATGTAAACCCAAATATCGCTCACTGGTTTCCGATCGGTCTGTTAAATATATCACTGAAACTTTGATTATATCTGATTAACAGGCGTAGAAAAAAAAAAGAAGCTGATCCTGCCAGAACACAGCCAGAGCTCCGCCCCACTGCAAGGGTTACATTTTACCAAGGAAAAAAGAATTACTTGCCAGAAGGCTCACTCCCACGTACGATTTGTCCCCCAAAAACTGCATCTCTTAGGGGCCCCAGACGGCCGTTGCAACCCTAACCTTACCAAGTCCAATGCAAAGGAGAAAGGGCCAGAGAGAAGAAGAAAGAAGAAGAAGAAGAAGAAGGGCCAAGAAGAAGAAGAAGAAGAAGAGAGGGCCAGAGAAGAAGAAGAAGAAGAGGAGAGGGCCAGAGAAGAAGAAGAAGAAGAAGAGAGGGCCAGAGAAGAAGAAGAAGAAGAAGAAGAAGAGAGGGCCAGAAAAGAAGAAGAAGAAGAGAGGGAAGAGAGAAGAAGAAGAAGAAGAGAGGGCCAGAGAAGAAGAAGAAGAAGAAGAGAGGTCAGAAAAGAAGAAGAAGAAGAAGAAGAGGGCCAGAAAAGAAGAAGAAGAAGAAGAAGAAGAGAGGGCCAGAAAAGAAAAAGAAGAGAGGGCCAGAAAAGAAAAAGAAGAGAGGGCCAGAAAAGAAAAAGAAGAGAGGGCCAGAAAAGAAAAAGAAGAGAGGGCCAGAAAAGAAAAAGAAGAGAGGGCCAGAAAAGAAAAAAAGAAGAGAGGGCCAGAAAATAAAAAAAAGAAGAGAGGGCCAGAAAAAAGAAGAAGAAGAGAGGGCCAGAAAAGAAGATCCTATCATACCTCCCCACCCAATGTATCCTTGTATCAGACCCCGTCCACCAGTGTATCCCATCATAGCTCAGATATCCACCCAATGTATACTTGTATCAGACCTCAGATGTTCACTCAGTGGTTCCTTGTACCAGACCTCAGATATCCACCCAAAGTATCTTATCAGACTTCATGGGGTTTATTTACTAAAGCTGGAGAGTCCAAAATCAGACTCCCTTCTGCATAGAAACCAATCAGCTTCTAACCTCAGCTTGTTCAATGAAGCTTTGGCAATGAAACCTGGAAGCTGATTGGTTTCTATGCAGAAGGGAGTCTGATTTTGGACTCTCCAGCTTTAGTAAATAAACCCCCATGTGTCCACCCAACGTATGTTATCAGACCTCAGACATCCAACCCAATCTATCCTCCTATTATACCTCAGATGTCCACCCAATGTATCCCATATACCTCAGATGTCCACCCAATGTATCCCATATACCTCAGATGTCCACCCAATGTATCCCATATACCTCAGATGTCCACCCAATGTATCCCATATACCTCAGATGTCCACCCAATGTATCCCATCATACCTCAGATGTCCACCCAATGTATCCCATCATACCTCAGATGTCCACCCAATGTATCCCTCATACCTTAGATGTCCATCCAATTATCCCTCATACCTCAGATGTCCACCCAATGTATCCCTCATACCTCAGATGTCCACCCAATGTATCCCTCATACCTCAGATGTCCACCCAATGTATCCCTCATACCTCAGATGTCCACCCAATGTATCCCTCATACCTCAGATGTCCACCCAATGTATCCTTGTACCGGACCTCAGATGTCCACCCAATGTATCCTTGTCTCAGACCTCAGTTGTCCACCCAATGTATCCCATCATACCTCAGATGTCCACCCAATGTATCCCATCATACCTCAGATGTCCACCCAATGTATCCCTCATACCTCAGATGTCCACCCAATGTATCCTTGTCTCAGACCTCAGTTGTCCACCCAATGTATCCTCCTATCATACCTCAGATGTCCACCCAATTTATCCTTCTATCATACCTCAGATGTCCACCCAATGTATCCCATCATACCTCAGAAGTTAGACCGATAATTGATATTTGATCATTTTTCAGAAGTGTTACATTAAAACCCGATACAGATGTGGAGAGCAGACCTCATAAATGCGCTCCTTGTTATGTAGAGGAGCCATTAGCAGCGCCGCAGGAATACAACATTGTTTCTCCAACATGACATTGGAAGTGTCTGCCTGGATACGACAGCAGCATCTGTGCAGACACAACACAACATGCCGAGCGTCCCCCGAGATCCCCAACGCCTCTAATGAAACCTCACAACACCGCCATCCAATGCACCAAAACATATGATCTAATGCAGGTACCCTGCTAATGCGGAGTGACAGACCATCCACCGACCGCCATTCCCGGGCCTCCCCCCGGCCCTCCGCAACTAGGCCAGAGTTAAATATTTAAACCCCCAGAAGTACCGACTAATATTTAATCACTGCAACCTTCCTCAAAGACAGCTGTCAAAGCAGAAGACCAACAAAGATTTCCCCAATGTCAGCTTAACTCTTTACTACCCAAGAAGACCCTGCAGGTGAAATACGAGGCTATCTAAGACCTGCTGCGTATACCGAATGGCAGACCATAAACAAGATGACATCATGTGTACTTTTCCATGTACAGTGCAGCATGTTACATAATGTGCCAGGTATTTATTACCGCTTACAGAGATCACAGCACTGCCCCTGACAACGCCTTCACCTGCTTTTTTGCCCAGAAGGACGGCGCCATCTTTGTTCAGACATCATCCAGCCTCAACGCCTACTGTACTACCTGAACCAAGATGCCAACTCAGAGGTGAAAATCATGGAAATTCTGAAGCCAGTGCAGTTCTCAGATGTGTTCACAAATATCTGACCCAGATCAGCCCCTGCTGCAGCCTCTCACCTTGTGACTTGCTGCAAAGTCACAGCATTCCAGTCTGATCACTGGGGGAAGGAGAGACTGAGGAAATGCTTGCTTGGTGTCACTGAAAAAAAAAAAAAAAGTCTCCTCATTGTTGGTGTCACGGAGATGAAAAAAAACGTGTCCCCTCTGTCACAGGAAATTATAACCCGTGCAAGACCGGAAGGGGCGGAGGCGGCACGCCCGTGCAAGGCCGGAGGGGCGGAGGCGGCACGCCCGTGCAAGGCCGGAGGGGCAGAGGCGGCACGCCCGTGCAAGGCCGGAGGGGCAGAGGCGGCACGCCCGTGCAAGACCGGAGGCGGCACGCCCGTGCAAGACCGGAGGCGGCACGCCCGTGCAAGACCGGAGGCGGCACGCCCGTGCAAGACCGCAAGAGGCGGCACGCCCGTGCAAGACCGGAGGCGGCACGCCCGTGCAAGACCGGAAGGCGGGCGGCACGCCCGTGCAAGACCGGAAAGGGCGGAGGCGGCACGCCCGTGCAAGACCGGAAGGGCGGAGGCGGCACGCCCGTGCAAGACCGGAAGGGCGGAGGCGGCACGCCCGTGCAAGACCGGAAGGGCGGAGGCGGCACGCCCGTGCAAGACCGGAAGGGCGGAGGCGGCACGCCCGTGCAAGACCGGAAGGGCGGAGGCGGCACGCCCGTGCAAGACCGGAAGGGCGGAGGCGGCACGCCCGTGCAAGACCTGAAGGGCGGAGGCGGCACGCCCGTGCAAGACCGGAAGGGCGGAGGCGGCACGCCCGTGCAAGACCGGAAGGGCGGAGGCGGCACACGCCCGTGCAAGACCGGAGGGGGCGGAGGCGGCACGCCCGTGCAAGACCGGAGGGGCGGAGGCGGCACGCCCGTGCAAGACCGGAAGGGGCGGAGGCGGCACGCCCGTGCAAGACCGGAAGGGGCGGAGGCGGCACGCCCGTGCAAGACCGGAGGGGCGGAGGCGGCACGCCCGTGCAAGACCGGAGGGGCGGAGGCGGCACGCCCGTGCAAGACCGGAGGGGCGGAGGCGGCACGCCCGTGCAAGACCGGAGGGGCGGAGGCGGCACGCCCGTGCAAGACCGGAGGGGCGGAGGCGGCACGCCCGTGCAAGACCGGAGGGGCGGAGGCGGCACGCCCGTGCAAGACCGGAGGGGCGGAGGCGGCACGCCCGTGCAAGACCGGAGGGGCGGGGGCGGCACGCCCGTGCAAGACCGGAGGGGCGGAGGCGGCACGCCCGTGCAAGACCGGAGGGGCGGAGGCGGCACGCCCGTGCAAGGCCGGAGGGGCGGAGGCGGCACGCCCGTGCAAGCCGGAGGGGCGGAGGCGGCACGCCCGTGCAAGACCGGAGGGGCGGGGGGGCGGCACGCCCGTGCAAGACCGGAGGGGCGGAGGCGGCACGCCCGTGCAAGACCGGAGGGGCGGAGGCGGCACGCCCGTGCAAGACCGGAGGGGCGGGGGCGGAGGCGGCACGCCCGTGCAAGGCCGGAGGGGGGAGGCGGCACGCCCGTGCAAGGCCGGAGGGGCGGAGGCGGCACGCCCGTGCAAGGCCGGAGGGGCGGAGGCGGCACGCCCGTGCAAGGCCGGAGGGGCGGAGGCGGCACGCCCGTGCAAGGCCGCAGGGGCGGAGGCGGCACGCCCGTGCAAGACCAGAGGGCGGGGGCGGCACGCCCGTGCAAGGCCGGAGGAGCGGGGGTGGCACGCCCGTGCAAGACCGGAGGGGCAGAGGCGGCACGCCCGTGCAAGGCCGGAGGGCGGAGGCGGCACGCCCGTGCAAGACAGGAGGGGCGAAGGAGGCGGCACGCCCGTGCAAGACAGGAGGGGCGGAGGCGGCACGCCCGAGCAAGACCAGAGGGGCGGAGGCGGCACGCCCGTGCAAGACCGGAGGAGCGGGGGCGGCACGCCCGTGCAAGACGGAGGGGCGAGGAGGGATGCCCGAGCAAGACCGGAGGGGACGAAGGAGGGACGCCCGAGCAAGACCGGAGGGGCGAAGGAGGGACGCCCGAGCAAGACCGGAGGGGCGAAGGAGGGACGCCCGAGCAAGACCGGAGGGGCGAAGGAGG